AAAAAAAAAAAACCCAGAATAAACCGCTCTGGTGTTTTAGCCTAGAATGGGGCGTTGGGCAACGTCTGTCAATTATCTCGGAGATTCAGAGATGGGATTTTTGGAGACATCCCTTTCTCAGCTGCTTGTGAATTAAACTATTTTTGCATTGTGAATTGTAGCCTGTAGCAGAGCGTGGTGTGAGCAGCAACGTGTCCTTGGGTAGATGAGGAAGCGGAAGGGGGGGATGTGCTTTCCTGGGCTGGAGGCAGGTCTGCCTGCTGTGAATTGTGGCTGGACTTGGCTTTCCCCACCCGTCAGAGGCAGAAAGCTGCAGCTCGGCTGTGTCGGAGTCATTAGATAAAAGGGCTCTTTCCTTTTGCTCCTGTCCGTCGTCCTTCAGACAAACGTGCTCTTCACATTGCCTGCTTTAAATTGCATCTGTCTAATGCAGGTACAAAATAGCATGCTAAAATCCACTTTTTAAAAAGATCAAGGATAATGAGATTCATCTCCAATCAGTTAGAAATTCCTTTAAACAATTAAGGCTCAGCCTGTCAAGTCATAAGCATCAAAAGCTTTTGACGAATGTAAACCTTAAATAAAACCAACGCTGCTTTCAGCGTTAGAAAACATGTCGTTTAGGTGACGAAATCCCCTAACGACAAAGTACTGAGAGCGGCGTAGGAGCCGCTGAAAACACAACGGCTGCCAAAGCGCTGGTTTTTACAAGAACAGGTTAAATCTCCGGGGTGTCCTGGGGCTGCGTCCCCTGAGGGGGACCCCGAAGCCCTGGTGCGCCCGAGGCTGGTGGGCAGGCGTGGGGATAGAGCTTCCTTAAGAGGCGGGGGTGGGGGGTGACGAGCCGCTTCCAATTGCGAGGCAGGCAGCACATGACATAAGATGCTCCAGATCTGCCTCCTGGGCGCTAGTTTAAAAATAAAGGATATTACACGTCGGCGGCACTGGTCCGGAGCGGCTGCGGGAGGAGAGGCTGCACAAAGGCGGAGGCAATGCGTTGTAAGGCTGGGCCCGGGTTTGGGGTGGGGGGTGGGTGGTCTGAGAGCCGAGCGGGAGCGTTTTGGGGTGAAGGGAGTATAAAATTTAAATTGTTAGGCTCGCGGTGCTCTTTCAAAGCCGTAATTGTCACGCACGTTTTTGGATGTGGGAATGGGTTTATCATCTACTGCTGATCAGGTTTTTCGAATGAACCGAGCGCGATGCGGAGTGCACTGCGTCCGCTGTGAGAGTTTACTGTATTTCATGCAAATACAGCAGTCTTGAGTCATGTCTGCTTTGGGATTGCCTTGGTCAGATAGCTACATTAATGGACGCTGATTTTACTGTAGCATTTGATTGTATTTTAATTTTTAAAACCTGTTTTTACAGGGACAATGCTGTGTGAGTCAGATGCACGTATGGCACTTGCGGAACCAGTCCCCACGACTTATTTTACTTCGGATCCTCAAGGGAACTGCGGGCTGTCTCTGGATGATGTACTGCTCAACTCTTCAACTAGGTTTGTGTAATTTAAGATTTTATTTTCTCTGTGGTGACCTGTATACATAGGATATAGTTTGTATTCTATCATGTTTACTTAGATTAATTAAGATTTTTTTTGGAAGACATTTCAAACATTTGTTACAACTTCCAAAAGCTGAATCTACAGTCTCGCCCTCTCAAAAGAAGAGGAACAGAATTAAATTTGCTGTACAGAGCTACCACACGGAGTACAGAGCTTGAAGTAGTGTGCGTTTAATATAAACTTAAAGCACAGGAATGGTAGAATATTTTGCGTAGTCAGAAAGATCACCTTTTATAAAGGAACTTTGCGTAATTGTTAATTCTATGTAAGTGGGAGGGCACTGATCAAATACTTAGAAGACCGAGGAAGTACTACATTGTTTGCGAAGTGTTGCTGTACTGTAAACAGAGAGGCGTGCCTCTGTAGGGGATAGTTTGTGTGCGGTACCTATGCTGATTTCTATCAGACTCTTGTTAGTCTGTCTGTAAATCTAAGCAGCCTCTTACTAAAGAGCAGAGTAGTAGTTACGGGTCTATATCTCACCACAGGGTAATGGGATATAGCTGCCAAAAAACTCTTTACCTAATTTTTTTCAGGCTGCATTTGAATTACATGTAGTAAGGGGGAGAAAAAGATGACTTGATTCACTGTAGGGGAAATAGCTGGGGCTTTTTTGCTCGTATTACTGAGTCATTTACATGCTTTGATCGTAAAAGCTGGTGGAGAAATGGTGCAGAACTGTTGCAACTGAGGATTAATTTGTGCTGAAAAATGAGGAGGAAATGCGTAGTAGGGAACATCTTGTAATCCCTTTGGGGGAAATAAAGAAAAAAAAAAAATTATTTACTTCCCTCTGGTTTCTGGCTTGCAGATTAGTTAGGAGAAGCCGTTCTGGTTTTGGACAGTACATGGGAGTAGCCAAGTGAAATCTTCTCTATGCCTTAAACTTTTTCATATGCCCAAAGCAGTAATAGTTGACTATCCCCTAGAAATTCAGAGAAAGTGTAAAACAGAGGGAAGCGATTTATGCCTTACACTGAAATTCACACAGTGCCTTGTCCTGACTTGTCCTCTCTTTGGTCTAGTGGAAAGGGAAGAAAATGCGGGGCTCGGTGGGAAGCCTGCCTGGATTAGGCTGAGGAGTTTGCATGGGACCAGAGGAGCTCCTGCCTGTGTGCAGGTGCGGTCCAGTTGTGACAGGCAGAGATGTCAGGGCTTCTTTTTGCCCCAAAGCTGCCCCTGCAGAGGGTTGGGGCTGTTGTGATGTCAGGGGCCTGCAGTCCTTCTAGAAGACCTGGGCGTCGGTGCTAGAGAGAAACCTTGCACCAAATGTTGCCATGTGGAAGAGTAAACACCTAGCACTGGCATGAGGAAACAAACACCTTCATGATGGCCTGGAGCGAAGGGCCCCGGCGGAGCTGTTTGGCAAGGCAAGATGGGAATTTTGGTTCTCTGGAATATAATCTTGGGTCGACTAGAACTTGGACCTTAGTGCTATGCTGACAGTACAAACAGGGTATTGCCCAGGGTAGGGGAACAAGCATCATCTGCCTGTAGGTTGGAGGGTGGGATGTCCTTCTAGGGAGCAGAGCACAGGAACTCCAATATGGAATCTCACAGGGTCTGGTTTCCAGCCTGTGGTCTGAAGTGGGACATGTGACTTGATTATTCCTTATCCTCATGACTTACGGCTGTGAGAAAGTCCGTCTCGAGAAGGGACGGAGGAAGAACACTGTTCTAGAAATGCGGGCAGGTAGCATCTCACCAGATCTTGCAAGGATGAAAAGAAAAGGGGCAACTTTCTGCTGGCGCCGCAGACAAGTTCCTGGTGAGGAGCGTGGCTGAAGTAGACGGGGGACGTGCCTGTTTCCATTTCTATACAAACATCTGGTGGGAGCCTGATGCGCTAACTTTATTAGGAATACCTAAGAACAAGATTTCCTGTTAAATCAATTTCCTGCTCTTCAGCTGGCCTGGCCTCCCGCAGGAAATCTCTGTGGGTTTCCCCACAGGGTGACTGGCCAGGGGGATTGCTGTACTGCATAGGAGTGAGGCCGCTGGGGCCTCCCCTTCGTGAGACTGGCGTATTGCACCAGATCCGTGTGCCCCTTCCTGCCCCCCTCCTCCTCACCGCTGTAGACTCTTTGTTTCAGGCACCTAGAGCAGACCTGTGGTGTTAAATTATTGCTGTTTTCTGGATGACATGTTTATGGATTCTTCTGCAGTTTATCTGAAATGATAGCTACAATTAGGACAACATACGTGTGTTTAAAAGCAGTGCAGGCAAAGCTTGCACACTCTCTGAGAGGGACCTGTTTCGTTGCTGTAGCCATGCAGGCTAGTAAAATGAATAAAGTCACCTGCAGAACGTCAGGAACCACTAATCCCTGTTTGACATCCAAGGACTAATACGATTAAGTGATGGAGCAAGCACGCCTAAGGTGTTCTTCAGCCAGTGTGCTAAAGCCTATCCAGGGCTAATTGCTTTTGCCTTGCAGAACTGCTGAGGTCCACAACACTGAGACAGTTGAAGATGTTAAGACAGAGGGATGTCAGACAGACACGCTTGGCTTCAAAGGTAAGTGGAAAGAATTTTTAGTTACTGTGGCGTGCATAAAATTATTATTGAAATGAGAGAGGAATTTATCACACCATAACAATGGAAGAAGAAACTCAAATTGCAGGATCTTGAACTTCGACTTTAAAGCACAGATGTGCTGCAAGGAGTAAAATAGGTGGTGTCACTGCCTAATGCTTATGTACCAGGTAATAATGTACTACTTTCAGTCCTCCTTGAAAAAAAACCCCGAAAACCAACAACAACAACAAAGCACAGCGTGTATGATTGTTGCAGGAAGCTGCCACCTTACCAGTACAAGAGCTTTAGGGCAGCAAAGCAGGTTTGAGGGGGATGTAAATGGGAAACGTTTAACAAAATTTTGGAAGTGCTTTAGAAGCTTCATCTATTAGTCCTGATCTAAAATACTGGGAGTTGTATGGCAAACGTGCCAGGAATAAAAGGGGGGTGGGAGGGGGTATATTAGCATTTGCTTTCATATGTTTGATACTTGTATTTATATTTCTGTTATGGCAGCAAGCAGTTTCTAAATATAAGATGCTGAACACTTTTCTTTCAAACCAGCCTCTTCACCTCCTACCTCCAGTGTGTGGACAACGCGACGAGATGGAGAGGTCAGACTGAGGATGGATGAACAGGGCATAGGCAGTGAGGCACCAAAGACTGTTCATGAGCTATTCCAGGAAGCTGCTAGTAAATATGGTGATTATTATGCCCTTGCATCCAAGAAGGGTGGCCAGTGGATAAAACTAACGTATAAGATGTACTATGATGAGTGCTGGAAAGCAGCAAAAAGCTTTTTGAAGGTAAGCTTTTGATGAATTCTGCTCCTCCTTCATGTTCAGTGAATTTAACTGCTGAAATGGCTGTGGTCAACTATATCTTAAACCTGCAAATTCTCTGAGTGAGTCTTAAAGTGACGGGGAAATACCTGAACATGCCATGAACAACTTGGTAATTACCGCAGTGGTTTTGTTTGAATTTCTTGCAAGTTGCTTCCACATTCAACTACCAAAAAGTGCGTAAGGAAACATTTAGAGAGAGGTGTTTGAGGTATGTGTGAAACCTGGACAACACCCCTCATGAGGCATGTGAATTTTAATCTTTCTACGAAAAAAACTTGAAGGGATGCTTATGAATGAGACTTAAATGTCCAAACTGGCTGAGCCTTTTGCCTGTACTGTTCGGAATTAAGGCACTCGGAGAGAGAGACCAACATTACATGTACTTACTGTTATCATTATGAAGTCTTTTATTTCTTGAAGTTAAGGCCACTCTTCTTTTTACTCCTATGGTGGGATCTTCCAGCCTACGTACTTCCACTCTGGGACAAAACCAGAGAATGGCCGAAGGAGACTTGAAGACTGGGACTTGGACAGCTGGAATTTCATAGCAAAGTGCCTCTGACTGTCACTGGAGCTTGTTGCTTGTGTCATTATTGATATCTGACACATCTAACTTGTACTAAATGACTAAACGTCTCAATAGGTGTTGTCTAACTTAACCTCTTACCTTCTCATTCCCAGCCCAAAGGGAACTGATAACTACCTGGATTGCAATTTTATAATACCGTTAGCATCAGTGAGCTAGTCATACCGAGTGCAGACCTAAGCAAATCCTTTTTTTCCTGCCTACTGATAAAGTGGGACAGTGTCTGATGTGAAACTTAACTGGTTCCATATTAGGTCTTGGGAAGTTTTTCAATGTGAATTACCGTATATAATAGCATGAACTTTTCCCTTGACATTGTGCTCGCAGCAGAGATCTGTAAATTAACTCTAAGCATTCTTCAAAGGAAAAACAAGATTGCTGTAATTTCATCTCTTGTTTACAGCTGGGACTAGAGCGTTTCCATGGAGTGTGCATCTTGGGATTTAATTCTGCAGAGTGGTTTATTGCTGACATTGGAGCTATCCTTGCAGGGTAAGAATGAGTGTTGTCTCTTGGCATGCATTTTGCTTTAGCATTCAGATAGTAATTTCAGTATTCATGTGAGAAGCAGTTTTTGATTAAAAAAAAAAAAACAAACCAACAAACCACAAAAAAACAGAACAAAACCAACTGCTTATATTTGAATTTAATGAAGATAGAACCTAAACTCTCTCTTTACTTCATTATAAATTAATGAGACAAAAATTAATTTATTTTTTTTTTAGCCAGGTGCTTCTCTCAAACTAAGATGAACACTAGGTTAATCCAAAACCATGCTTACTTACACTGTGATTAAAAATATGATGGGAAATGCCAGAGAATCACAGCACTGGATTTTGATAGCCTTCTTCCACCTGAGACGTTTTGGTCCTTTACAGCATTCTGACATTTCCCATGCCCCAGAACAGAACCTTTGCTCTTGGAATTAAGCCCTCCACTTTTTGTTGTTGTTTCATGGGATATTCTTCCTAAAGTTTTTCCTCTGTTAAAGTTTGAAATGGTCTGAATTTTGCCAGCAACTCTGCCTATCCTCTAATTCTGTATTTTGCTTTTCTGTTTTGTTTTTTTCCTTTTCTTTTGCAGTGGATTTGCTGTTGGTATCTACACTACAAACTCTCCTGAGGCCTGTCATTATGTAGCAGAGAACTGTAGTGCTAACGTTCTGGTTGTGGAAAACCATAAACAGCTGCAGAAAATCTTAGAAGTAAATATACTTTTTAAATGGCTGGAGGCTACAGCATCCTATCAACAGATTTGGGAGGGTAAATGCTGTGGGAGGGTAATACCTGAGGGAAATGCTGCATCTGAAAGCAGAGGTGAACTGATCGAGCCTACTTGGTGTGCACCCTGTTCAAGCCAGATGAGTAGTCACTAGTGCTAAATCTCACAAGAGGTTAAATGGTGGTTCCACAGCTTGGCAAAGCCTCGAGCTTAAAATATGAGAAGCCAAAACGAACAATTGAGCATCCCCTAGGCTGTCTGGCAACATCCCAGTCCAAATGATTACTGTCTCTAGTGAGGCTTCCCCGTTCTCTTTCAATAACACAGATGAGATTCTCTTAGCTTAAAATGGCAAGTAGCAGTAGCATGTTAAGTGGTGGGTTATTTAGGCCTAAAAGGGACAGGCAGAATTTGCTCCTTCTCACGAATCTCCCTTCTTAAAACAGATTCAGCATAAACTACCTCATCTGAAAGCTATTATCCAGTATGGGGAAGAGCTAAAAGAGAAGAGACCAAATCTGTACTCTGTAAGTACTGGGCATCTTAATGGCTTGTAAATACTGGCTGTGTTCAGCTGATGGCTTGCAAGCAACCATCACCTTCCACAGGACTGTCATCATGTGAGCTTACGTTGGTTTTTGTGAGGGATTGCTTGCCTCACTGAAGCAGCAGATGTCTACTGTTGTTCAAATCTCTATAATCCATGTTGTAAGGGAGGGTGTTAGCATACTGACCTCTGCAAGGCAGCCTCGGGTCCCACAGTTACTTCAACTTGACACTCCCAGTGAACACCAGGGTTGCTACAGAGCTAGTAAGCTGCTTCAGGGTGGATCCGTCTCCTTTTCTGCTTCTCGCCATGCCTCTTGTGGCAGCCAGAAAACATTGTGGGACTGACAGTGCATATTTACAACCTTGTCCAGATTCTGCCAGAGGTTTGGACGTAGGAAACAGTTTCCTTCTCTTCATGCGTAGCAAAGGGTTTAATTCCACGTGTGAATGATAGCTTAGAAAGTGATCGAGCTCTTCTCTTGTATATACAGTGGAGTGAGTTCATGGACCTTGGCAAAGATGTTCCAGATACTCAGCTCCGTGAAATCATTGAGTCGCAGAAGCCTAACCAGTGCTGTACACTAATATATACCTCGGGGACAACTGGACAGCCAAAGGGAGTAATGCTCAGTCACGACAACGTAAGTATCTTTCTGTATAAATGTCCATTCTGTGACCTTAGGTGGGTGCTGAGGGAGGGTGGAGATCAGCTGAAAAACATGCCTGGTGTTAAGATCACAGGAAGTCAAACTTTTGTGAGCTGCGTGTTCTGTGTTGTGCCTGCTGGGAAGAGCTGCCACATAATACTGATGTGGGTTCTTGTTACAGTTGACGTGGACGGCATCGGCGGCAGGGCGTTTCATAATGCTGACAGATGCTAAGGAAAAGCAGGAACTGGTGGTCAGCTATCTGCCCCTCAGTCATATTGCTGCACAGATGTCAGATATGTGGTCAGCAATGACATTTGGCGTACAAGTTTTCTTTGCTCAACCAGATGCATTAAAGGTAAAAACGTAAGAGAATAAAAATCCTACACCTGCTTGTAGCTGGGGTGGGTGATTTAAAACGAACGTGGCTGACTTACCTCATGATTCCGAAAGCTGTGCTAACTCGGTTTATTTGCGTAGTGACCAACTGCTCCTGTTTAAGGGTTTGTTGGTTTGATGAGTACAGCCACTCTGACCTTTGCCTTTTGACCCTGTATTGCAAGCTAGGGTGAGCTGACCAAGCACTTCACAACTAAGAGCCTTCTTGGTGTCTCACCTGACACCAGTTCTCCGCCCCGACAGCTTGGTTGAGCAACGGCTTTCTATTTGCTCTGTCCACATTGCAAAATGCCACCACCATTAAATCTGTGTCCTGAGAATCATAGAATCATTGAGGTTGGAAAAGACCTCTAAGATCATCGAGTCCAACCAAAGAACGATTCTTCTCTTGGTGCTGCGTCAGCGTTGGCACTGAAAGCATCGACCCTTGCTGTCTTCTCAAAACCACTGTGGCATTTGAATGCTCCTGGGGTTCCTTTCTCTTGGCTCTGCAGTTGAAAATGAGCAAGTCCTCAAAATAAATGGCAGAGTCCTAAGCTTCGGCTAGTGACCAGTGCTGACCTGAAATCTCCAGTGAAGCACTCTTGAAAGCCGTATTAAATTCTGCTTTGCTCAGGGCACCTTGGTAGACACCCTGCGGGAAGTGAGGCCAACTGCTTTTTTGGGAGTTCCTCGTGTCTGGGAAAAAATGGAAGAAAAAATGAAATCCATAGGCGCAAAATCGTCAGCACTCAGAAGAAAAGTGGCATCGTGGGCCAAGGGAGTCGGGTTGCAGACAAACCTGAAGCGGATGAATGGGTAATTATGAACTACACTTAAGGGATGTTACGAATATTAGGAGAACTTTACTGTCAGATCAGGAATTAGATCCCATGTAACAGGCCAGACTTACGGACAGTTAAAAGCCAAATGTAGCGCTTGGACCAGAGGGTGAGCAGCAAGGGCTGGAGGGGGAAGTAATTAATTTTTTTACTGAATAAACTAAAATAGGAGGAAGATGAAAGGAGGAAGGGGGAGAAGTTCTACTTGGTGACTGAGATCTTGTAACCGGTTTTCTCCTACAGGTATTCTGAAGTCCCGGTGAACTTCCGCTTAGCCAGGCACTTGGTGTACAAGAAAGTGCGAAAGGCCATTGGGCTGGACCGGTGCACAAAGTGCTACACGGGGGCTGCTCCCATCACCAGAGAGACGCTGGAATTTTTTTTAAGTCTGAACATTCCTGTGTTCGAGCTGTACGGCATGAGCGAGAGCTCTGGGCCTCACACAATCTCTCTACCTCACGCGTTCAAGCTTACCAGGTACACGCCTTTTTGCGAGTAGAGCACTGCTGGCTGGGAGGAAGAGTTGCTTTAAGGTTTCTCCTGCATCTGGCATGTCCGTCTCGCCTGATGCAGCTCATCCCCAGAGTCTTGCTGCCGGTAAAAAGTCGCTAGGGAGCCAGTTCCTTTGGCCACATCTTGCAGATGAAGAGATCTGCCATGGGCAGCAGCAGGGTTACTTAAATTTAACTTGGCCTGGATTCTCTAGGAACTGAGGAGGAAGCAAGGGATTGATGGGAAGAAGGAAGAATTAGTAACTCTAGCCTACAGTTCACTTTAGCGTCAAGTGAATAAATACAGTAAGACTGTGCTGTTGCTTTGAATGGCTTGTTCAGTCCCCGTGGGTTCAGTCTGCAGAGTTAAATATTGCCATCAGTAAAAGCTTGCTGCCAGGGACATAAATCTTCTAATTCAAAGCTCAGGTGTTTGAGAACAATGAGTGGAAAACACCAGGTGTGTGAGCACTGATCTCTCTGCAATAACAACTTTTTCTGTAGTTCCCCTTATATAAGCAGATGCCTTTTAAGTTTATAAGTTCCTTGCTGAAGCAGTTGTAATAAAAAGCTGCCTGGCTTTGTTCAAACACTTCAGCTTGAGAGGGTACTGCTGTCATCTCACTCTGCTGCTCAGCTATTGAATTTAAAAAAAAAAAAAGATGCCATGGGTTTGTGTTCTCTTTAAGCTGTGGAAAGGAAGTCACAGGCTGCCGGACGCTGATTCATAAGCCAGATGGAGACGGCAACGGGGAGATCTGCTTCTCGGGAAGGCACATCTTCATGGGCTATTTGAACATGGAAGAAAAAACCAAAGAGGCAATTGATGAAGATGGCTGGCTGCATTCGGGTGACCTTGGCAAGCATGATAAAGATGGATTCCTCTACATCACCGGCAGAATTAAAGGTGATGCATCCCCTCACTTTGTTGTCTTGAGGTTACGCGGTACTATGATAGGATGCGTTCAGACCCTGCTAGTTATGGGGTTGCACAGGAGAATGTTTAAATACTTCTTCTGAAGTTTTAAATATGAATATGGCTGCAGCGTGTCCTGCCACTGAGCATGTGACATGGCGTGTGATGGGAGGAGAGGGATGACCTCTGAAACCACTGTGTGTTTGCAGAGTAAGGAAGAAATCCTCTGATCTCAGAAGCAGTAGTTAATGCTTTGTTGGCTTGTTTTACGGTGCCAGACCTGTCCAGGTCCCTCCAGTTTCAGCTAACTTTGCTAGCCAACCTCTAAGAGAAAACAGTAGCTTAATGCTGTTGCGAAAATGGCTTGCAGCAATGCAGTTCTTGAGACACCACTTTGACCAACCCCAAACAAATCCAATTTCATGCAAGACTTCAGTCATCAACAAGAGAGAAATGGTCACGCACAGGGGCTGCTTTCGGAAACCTGTAAAAGACAGCCAAGAAAGGCAGGCTCTCCTCGGCTCTGTATCACACTGTAACTTCAGAAACTCCGCTTTGCCTCAGCAAATTTTTTTACTTAAGTTTCTGAACAACTTGGGTACCAACTTACATGCCTTAGATTCTGAGGTGACTGTGGCAGGGTACTGAGGTGCTCGTATGCCACACCCCGTGTTCCCGAACTGCAAACATTTCTGGAGCATCAGAGCAGGTTTTGCAGCGCTGTTTGCGTGCACACCTCGGTCTCATCTCTCCTAGCCTGACTGGAGTCCTCCTGGTTTGCTGCCTTCTCTGGGTGTTGGGACACAGACTCACTATTTGATCCGGTAGTCACAAAGGAGCTATAAAGTTATTTCAGCTTGTGAAGGAAGGGGGAAAAGCTCTAAGTGTTAATCAAGATTTGACTGGGGTTAAAGATCAAGATTTGACTGGGGTTGTTCAGCCTGGAGAAAAGGAGGCTGAGGGGAGACCTCATCGCTCTCTACAACTCCCTGAAAGGAGGTTGTAGCGAGGGGGGGGTCAGTCTCTTCTCCCAAGGAACAAGCGATAGGACGAGAGGAAATGGCCTCAAGTTGCGCCAGGGGAGGTTTAGATTGGACGTGAGGAAAAATGTCTTTACTGAAAGAGTGGTTAAACATTGGAACAGGCTGCCCAGGGAAGGGGTTGAGTCACCATCCCTGGAAGTATTTAAAAGACGTGTAGATGCGGCACTGAGGGACATGGTTTAGTGGACATGGTGGTGTTGGGTTGACGGTTGGACTCGATGATCTTAGAGGTCTTTTCCAACCTTAATGATTCTACGATTCTTTTCCAGAGCTCATCATCACTGCAGGAGGTGAGAACGTTCCTCCCGTTCCAATCGAGGATGCTGTAAAAGACGCTGTTCCCATCCTCAGCAATGCAATGCTGGTTGGAGACAAAGCAAAATTCCTCGCTATGCTTCTAACGCTAAAGGTAATGGAAAACAGGAGGGGAATCCACCTATGTTGCTAAATGTTTCATGCCAGTGAGGAAGATAATTGTTATGCGTTTTTACAGTGTCTTCTAGAGACAGGAGGCATCTGGAGTATGACTTGTTGTAGCTGGGTTGCAAACAGCAGTTGTAACTGTACAGGAAAATGAGCATCGTCACTTGAGCAGACGATCAGGTTCTTCTGTTGTTCAGGGCAGCTGTTTCTCTCTGTACCACATAGGGCAGAAAGAAACAGAAGTAAAAGACCTAAAAGGGAGACTGAAAAAAGAAACCCTTCTGCTTTTCTTACCCATTTTTCAGTGTCTCCCGGAGCAGTCTGGACAGCAACGAGCTGTCAGTGATTTCTTTTTAAGACACTGGCTTTAAACTCCACGGTGACACACCTGTGGTGGCCGGCACTGACTTCTCTCTGGAGACCCTGCAGGCTGGTGGTTTTTCAGGACAGTGGTAATCGCTCATTAGCGAGACTGACTGAGTGCCAGCCTCCTCACCCTTGTGCAAGAGATGCCGAGCCAGGCCCTGGAGGTGGCGGTGCTGCGCTTGTCCTGGTCGGGTGCCACCATGTGTTGACTTCCAGCAGACTGTTAACGCTGCTGTGGGATGTAGGGAAGTAAAGCTGTGGCCCAGAAAAAAGGTCCAGAAAAAAGGGATCAACTTGGGATAGCCCAGGAGGAATCTGGAAGATGAGCTCTGTACCCAGCTTGCTCCTTGGTATGGACACGGCTGTTGAGTATGCGGAGATCTGAAGGGGTTTCGTCAGTGTTTTGCCTCAACAGGTTTTCATTTGAAGCGGTGTTTGCATCAAGCGTATGAAAATCGCAGTGGTTGATCAGCTGGTACCGGGGTGGGGAAGGAGGCAGGGCAGCTTCCCAAGGCTGTAAGGCTGATGAGCGTGAAGGGAATCGAGCGTTTAGCAACGCAAAGTTACCTGTTCTGACTTGTCTTGCAGTGCAAAGTAGATGTAGAAACTGGCGAGCCAGGAGATGATCTCACTCCAGAAGCTGTTGAATACTGTCAAAAACTGGGCAGCAAGGCTACAAAAGTCTCCGAAATCATCAGCAGCAAAGACAAGGCAATCTACGCGGCTATCCAGAAGGGAATTTCAGCAGTCAATGAGGGAGCTGTCTCGAATGCTCAGAAAGTCCAGAAGTGGGTCCTTCTGGAGAAGGACTTTTCTCTCTTCGGTGGAGAGCTTGGTGAGTGGTTGGGGTGGCCCCGTCACCCCTTCCTTGGATGTTGGACAGGCAGCATAACCCAACACACAGAGCTACCCACGGCCCTTCCTCGCTGTGGCTTTTCAATGCCCTAGTTTTGGGGAGGGTGGGATGAATTCCCACTTCTGCCCGGCAGAACTGAGCTGAGCAGTGCTTACCCTTGGTTCCGCGTTGGCTGTTGCAGGATGGTTGTGCTGTTTCTATCCACAGGGGAAGGAAGGGAGATTTTATTAATCGCAAAGAGAAATTTAGAAGTCAACGTCTGTTCACGTGTTCCGAATCTTCCTCTGGGCTTGCTTCACTCCAGTGTTGATTTGTGTCTCAAAACGGTACCGTCGCCGTTAAAACCTTGTGCTGTATTTTTTCCACAGGCCCAACAATGAAGCTGAAGAGATCAGTGGTGGCACAGAAGTACAAAGACCAAATCGCTCAGTTTTACGCGGATGTGGATACACCTGCCGCAACAGAGAACGCTCTTCGGCAGTAGTGCGGAGGCTTTGTGCCGTGGACTGAAGCAAGCCTGGAAGACGATTCCCCTGCTGCCATCCCCAGGAAGGATTCCCTGCATTCTGTTGAAATAAATGAGGCTCGGTCATCACGCGGCCCTTCTGAATTGCTGAACTGTATATTTTTTGGCCTTCATACTGCAGTGTGGTGAGCGTGTTCGTGCCCAGTGTTTTCCTGTGTCTGTGTTCTAGCGCTGAGATATTCCTGAATATCGCTGCTTCGTAATTTTGTCTTTCCATTTTTACAAGGGCAATACAATGCTACCTTAAATCCATATTACATATTCTGTTTTAACCAAAGTTTTCTTTTCCTGAGCTGAATGTAAAACAATCAGGAACTGCAACTTTCTTGCTGAGGGAGAGACAGATTTCTTTTTATAGCGGTGTACTTCACTCCCCCCCTGATGCACGTTTAACTGCATGCTGATGGCATCTGAATTATTTCAGATCTCTTTACCCACAACCTGTCTTCTGTCAAAGATGAAGAATGCTGCGTGACTACACACACTGGCTCAGTGCGTATGTGGAACCTCGTGTTCGCTGGGTTTGTCTGTGCAATATTTTGTGTCTGTTTTAAGTTATAATGAAGCCATAAATTGTATTGTTAAAATATTATATGCGGCCTGTGTTCTGAGAAGCGTTTTACACAAGGGACTATTTATGAGGCTGCATACAAACGTGTGTGAAATCTGGCTGTAGTCTTACAATCAGAGAAGTGCTGTCTGGAGTATGGTGGAACTCCAGAGCCGTGGGGTGGGCTGAGGCTTTGCACTTGGAGAGAGGAGACGGTGTTGCTGCTCAAAGGCTGGTTCTTTTGAACGTCTGTGATCAACCACTCTGTGATGCAGTTGATCAACTGCATTCTGTGCTGGGGGGAAAGCACCCATTACCAGTAGCGCTTGAAGGACTCTTCAAAATGGCTCTGCAAGGCTTAGTCCAGTCTGCCCAATGCCTGGAGGGACTGTTCATCCCAACAGCAGCTGAAGGCTTGCTTGTAAAATGGCTTATTCCAAACTAGAAATCATTCCCTGAATACAGGTGGAACAGCTCTACGCTTTGGTTCTGGGCAGCGTTTCCCATGGCCAAAGGAGGAGCACCAGGAGATGTCCGGTGCTTTGAGGGGAAGCACCCTGCAGGGGAGAGGCATCTACACTATTAAATAACGCAAATGGCTCAAGCGAGCTGCCGGCTGGGGGTCACAGCGGCTCTGTACCTACAGCCCTGCGTAGTACCGAAACCTCGCTGGGGTGGGCAGTCGCAGTACCTGGAACTGGGCACCTCAGGGGGGGTTTTAAACCCAAAAGTTTGTATCTGATCTGGGCTCAGTGAAATTCCGCTTGCACATGTGCCTACAGCACCTGGATGGAAGGGCGGGTAATGCACTATTGTAACCGCTGCTGATCTCGTGCAAACACTTGTGTTCTCAGCTGTGTGAACTTGAAATGTCTCCAATAAATAAACTCTGCAGTTTGTGTCTCAACACTTCAGTGATTTTCAACACTTCAGTGATTTTTGCAGAGTAACACTCGACGCTGCCTTGGGGTCAGGCTCCACGGTGGGGGGGCGGTGAGCAGCAAAAAGGTTAAACTGCCTTATCACAGGGAGAGCTGGAGCCATGAGCAGCAAAAAGGTTAAACTGCCTTATCGCAGGGAGAGCTGGAGCCGGAGCCGACTCCTTGATCGTTACCAGGGCTGAAGACGCTGCCCACAGCAGCAGAGGGAGGAGACCGACAGGTACAAAACACTGCAGCGCTGGGAAGGGGAATTAAGCTCCTGGCCTTAACCTTTGCTCTCAGCCTGCAGCTGAGCGCCTGCGCCAGAGCTCTGCCTCGCTCTTTGGGGTTCGTGACAAGTCCCGACACGATTGGGAGCAGCGGATAACCTTCAAAGCCCAGGGAAGCGGAGAGGGAGCACTTGCACCTGCCTCGGGCAGCCCTCCGTCCTGGCCTGCTCACTCCACCTAGCGCTCGCCGCTCCTTCCTGCTGCTGGCAAATTGCAGGGAACCCCGACACGAAGCTGCAGCGGCAACAGGATTTTAGCAACTGACTTAGAACTCCAATGTGTATTAACGGACATCAGAGCCATCCCCCAGCCCGACCGCGCTTAAAACAAGTTTCTTCTTCCTTCGCTTTTCACCTCCTGTGCCTGGCGCGGCGCTGCCTGCAGGCAAGGGGCTGGCGGAGCTGAAGAGCGGCCGATGGCGTTACTGGTGTCTGCATTTCTAACGGAAAACATTTTTGGTAACAAGGTGCTTGGGGAAAGCCTCGTTGTGTCCATGGAAGAAGCAATACAACAAACAAAAAACGCTTGAAGTTTTACTTTTCCATCTTACTTTATTTCACTGAAGGGCAGCCGATGGCGTTACTGGCGTCTGCATTTCTAACGGAAAACATTTTCGGTAACAAGGCGCTTGGGGAAAGCCTCATTGCTGTCCATGGAGAAGCAATACAACAAACAAAAAACGCTTGAAGTTTTACTTTTCCATCTTACTTTATTTCACTTTTTCTAGAAAATTCCTCCATAGTTCCACAAATTTAACAAAAAGTTTAAAATTCAGGACAAACAATCCTGTAACGTATTACAAACATGATTTTTTTTTTTTTTTAATCTTGAAGTTAGTCTTGGGCCAGCTGAATTTCTTACAGCTGAGTGAAGAATTCATTTCCCAACACAACTTTTAAAATCCTCAAGTGACAAGGTATTTAATACCTCGGCTCTAGGCAGAAATACAATTAAAAATTATCTAGAAGTTGAAGTACTTACATTTTTCTTTAGGAGTGCAAACTCATCTTGTCAGTTTTTGATGGCTATTTCACGCCCCCAGGAAAGCAATACCGATGGATTTCCGCCGTTTTAGAAGCAATACTCGTACAAGGTGCACAATGGTTGTCTACAGCATCGGCACGAGCGTGCCAACTAGCGAGTGCCAGGCACCCGGGCTAGTAGAGAGAAGTTTCGTCCGAGCACCCCGCCCGCGTGCTCCAGTGCACCCGCCAACGTGACAGCTGAAATTTGCAGAACCAGAGTGACTCGCGTCTCCGCTTGCGGAGAACGTGACGGGGCAAGCTCCGTAAGGGAAGTTTAAGCCTCTCTCACCATCAAATACGTTCAAGATCTGACAAAAACCGCTTCTGGATTGTTGCACCAATTGCTTTGCTAGTTCTGATGCTACCGCCGCACACAGCAATAGAAGAACTGGTGGCAAAAATCATTGCACTTCCATGTATTCAGCCTGACCACGGCACAGCCAGTCTCGTTACCTACGTGTCCAAATTCCTCAGCTGGCGTTTTGGGACCCAGCCAGCCTTACTATCCTTTTTTTTCTTTTTTTTAATAGTAAATGTCAGTAATCAAAGCCTCAAGGCTTAATACATACGCAGACCAAGACAACAGGAAAATGCTCCTGACCCCTCTTTTGCCCTTTAATACAAAGGCCAAGGACAAAGGAAAAGCTGCGTCCTGATCTTACCTCCAACACGATTCAATTCAAAGCAACTCTGAAAGCCTTCAGACTGATCAGCACTTGTTCACGCCTTCAGTAACAAGATGAAGGACACTGAAAAGTAACAGAATTCTGTCCATTCTCCTTGGAAAAAACCATTATGGCTAGAAGTCAATTTTGGATATTTTTTTTTTTTCCTTTTTTTAAACAACGCAAGCTACTACACATCCTCGAAGACCTGAAGCAATGCTGACAGCAGCACTGCCACCTCCTTCCTATAGCACAATAATCCATCCATGCTCTCAAGAGTGACACAAGAACAAACACTTTATCCACAAATACCTGTACACGGCATGTTCAGAACAGCATTCAGCCAGCCTATAGAGAATCTACACAGGGAACTCGTTCATATGTAACTAGAAGGGGACACAAGACGAGGCCCAAATTTGACCGTTCTTTGTTTGCAGAGTCATTCCTCCTGTGGTCCCCGACGCTACCACATACCCCAAAAAACAACAACTCTGTAGAACAACTAAGTACTTGCAAGAAACCTTTTAGTAACAAATCAGCATGTGCACACAATGGAAAAGAACTATTGCTGGGGGAACAATCCTATTTCAGGTTTTCAAGGAGATTATAAACAGTCTAAAAAAATCCATGTGTAAAATACTTCTTATAAAAACCAAACAAAATTCCTATCAATGCTCATTAGACTTCACGAATAAAGTCGGTTCCAGGACAGGACGATGCCGCAGCCCCAGGCACTTCCAGCCAAGTTCAGGAACACCCTCCCACACGTGTTCTTGGACTGCCTGGGAGCAGCGTGACCATTCAGATCTTAACGTGAGAAGGGGGCAGAAGGGAGGTGGCACCTCCGATCCCTCGTGGGGTAACGCTGGAGGCTACTGATAGTCCCGGGAGAAATGCTGCCAGGATGGGCGACACAGATGCAGTGGCTGTGGGAGTAAGTTACCCGGGTGGAGAGAGGAGGCAAAGACCTCGGGAGATCTCGGGCTCAGGCTGGCTACCACCGCTGCTCCTATTGCTTCGGGGACAGGACAATGTCACCAACCCCGCCCTTCACTGGGGGCAGCGGGCAGGAGGCACCGCGTGCCAGGGGCTGCTCCGCACGCCCAGGGAGCCACGTTCGGGACCGTAGCGACCGCACAAGGCTTGCCTCCTCCACGCCACAGACCCAACAGAGACCATGAGTAGTCCGCACGTACCCACCACGCCTAACACAGCACACGGGCGAGTCTGTGACACTCGTGGACTGCGTCTGCCGTCCTCCACCGCGGTGCATCCCACTGCCAACCAAGACAGAACTGCAGCTCCTCCTCTTCCCGCTAGTCCTCCACCTTCTCAGTGTACATTTGCGCACAGGGTTTCTATCCAGGCTTGGCATTGTCCATCAAGAAAGAAAACAGCTGAGATAACTGTCGTGACAGGGTTTGCACCTGGCATGAGCTTGATTTTTTTTTATATATATATATATATATACACACACACACACACACACAAAAGACACATGAAAGATGGTACAAAGACAAAATTAATGGGAATCGGGTCAACATGACCCAACTCAAAAAAGCTTATCATCATATTGCCACTTAAGTTGATTAGTTGCAACATTTCCATGATAAAGAAAGGGGTAATCCAAAACAAGGGACTGCAATTTCATAATGGAGAAGGGACAGCAAACCCTGGAGTGATGCAACCCCCCAGCTCCCAGACGGGGCTTTCACAGATATGGGAGGTCCACTCACGAGCAGGGGACTCCTCCGGACCGCTGCTCTCCTCCTCGCTGCCTGCAGCCCACTTAACATTTGGCAAAAGCTTACACACTGATTGGAAAACGGAGCAATTCTTCAAAAAAAATACTGAATTTAGGGAACAGGAGTGTAAGGCAGTTTTGATGAAAGCTATAGGACTTTCCTCACACCCACCTAGACAATGCTTGGAAGTCAATACTAGTTTAACTAGAAATATATGAAAGATTCTGGATTAGTGTTTACTGTTTCCTGCCATTTCTTGAACAGGCAGCGGGGCGGGAGAGGAAGAAACAAACCTGACTTCACTTGGTTTTTACATCAGTGTTTTCCAGGTGTGCCCCAAGATAAAATTCTCCCTTGTTTTGGTTTTCCCAAAAGTACAGCCACTACTATAGGGGCCACTGTAGGAGATTCCTCTTTGAGAACATAGAACAAAACCAATCACGTATTTTGGCAAAGTTATTAAACACTGACAAATGAGAAGACGACAGGTGAGCCCCTTCCAGAGCACAAAATGCTTTGAAGATTGCTGTTCAGCTTTCATACACTAAAAATTGTCCACAAGAGGCATTTTAACAAACAAGTCAAATCTTATTAAGCGCCCTTCCCCTGCCATAGCCATTAAAAAACATAACAGAAAAACACACCCTTAAGATCATAAGACCCAACTAGGCCCTTCTTATACATACAGTACATACATATATATAATATATATATAAAATATACAGCTTACAGTTTTGTAGTCCTATTACAGTTAAAGCAGACTGAAAGGAGTGAGACTTTGTTTAGGAGCTCAGATCAACAAACAAGACATCTCAAAACCCCAGCGGGAGACAGCAGATTCTAGAGGCCTCTTCAAAGAGCACGAACTGTCTCTGCAGGAAGCTGAAGGTCCTGCGCGTGGAACGATGCCCTGTAGGAATCGGGAGCCAAATTACAGCAGTGCTCTGTACCGAACCGCGGCAGAACTAACTTGCAAGTGATCAAAACTGGAATCTGTCCACTGTCCTCTGCAGCAGACCAGCAGGACCCCTGGGAAGCCTCCTCTGTCATCAGTCTCTCGGCTAGCTTTGTAAAAGCCAATCTCGCTTACACAGCATGAACGCTTCTTCACAGAGCTGGAGGAAACGGGACTCACTAGAGCTCTCCGCAGGCAGGCTGGTCCCTAGATTTGGTGAAGAAAACATCGTCCACACTTCTTCAGATCTCAGAGACGCCTGAAAGCGTGCTCTTAAAACACAGTTTCTTGAAGTAAAACCAAAAAGGTCGCACTGTGCAGCTAAGTGCAGCATGTCTTTTGCTCTACTCAGGACCTGTGCCCAAGCGTACTTATGAAGCTAGGGAGGACAGACTCAGCAATACGGGCGCTTGTTTGAAGCCTACAAGAAAGTGCAGCTGGCTGTGCATTCATAGAGCATGGCTGTTCTCTAAGGCAGTGCTTCGGGTGAATCAAGAGAGTAAGAAGGCCTAGTTCCATGGGTTCGTTTCCTGGTACCAATAAACGGGATTTCTGGTTTCAAAAGCAGCCTGCTTCTAAGGCCAAGCGTCATGTTGCTACTGCTTCCAAGTAGCTCTGCAGCTTACGGACGGTTGTCTCATCCAAGGAGAAGAGGTCAAAGTCAAAGGTTGTGTTGGTAACATTAAAATGCCCGGTTTCCTCAATGAGGTTTACAATCTGTACAGAAAGGAGACAAGCAAGGATGTATACAGAGACCCCATAAAGATTAAGTACAGCAGAAAGGCCAGCAGATACAGAGCAACCCATCCAGTCCTTTTCTCATCCCTTCAGAATAGCCTCAGAGATGAGGATGTCTCGCAACATTCCCATTTTTTGGGAATCCTCTCCCAAAAAAGCAAACCAGCTCCTCCTGCATGCCTGACTAGCTCAGTCCGGAAAGTGACGTGGGCAAATTTCTTTCCTCTTAAATTAGACCGAGCGCACCCAGGTTTGGGACCGCTACCAGGATGGCAGAGGAAAGATGCACAAACCACACTTCTGTATCTTTTCCAACAAAAACATTGCATGCACATTGATTTTTTTTTTTTCCTACATATCTTTGCTTTCAAAGTGAACCAGACCCTCTCATGAAGGAGAGGCAAGTGAAAGGTCAAGCATCACAGGGGTCCAGCTGAGAACCTTGGACACACAGATTACCAGAGTACAACAGCTTGCCAGAAAGCTGACAAGTGATCTCTACCTGCTGTAGCACATTGCGCTCTCGTAGTGCCATTAGTCGCCTGTGAAGCTCCACTAATTCATCAGTGTAGGCCTGTAAAGGAGGCATGAACAGAAATAGTGACATACGTGGCATGTTTGTATGACTGCCAAAGTGACCTTCCTAGTGAGGATCAGACAAACTTGAGGCCCTGTCAGACATGTTCCTATTCCCAATTTTTCCCGAAATTTTTTACTGCCTCCTCCATCCTTATCAAGTACTGGGAGACTAAAGACTTCACACAAATAGGGATGGTCTGAAGACCATCAGCAAGACTATTTAATGACACCATTAAACAAACACCTGTAACCAGCTTTAAGTGGTCAGAACCTTTGAGCTTAGAGGACCTCAACAAGGTGAAGTTCATCTTGGTGAACTTCAGTGCGAGTTCTTCATCAGCGGGTTGTACTAATAAACTGCTCATTACCTGAAAATGCCTGCATCGATGCTCAGTGACCAACACCCCAGCAATCTGCTGAACAATGATTTGTGTTGACTGACATGGCTGAACATGAGCCGGCAGTGTGCCCAGGCGGCCAAGAAGGCCAATGGCATCCTGGCCTGTATCGGAAATAGTGTGGCCAGCAGGAGTAGGGCAGTGATCGTGCCCCTGTACTCGGCCCTGGTGAGGCCGCACCTCGAATACTGTGTTCAGTTTTGGGCCCCTCGCTACAAGAAGGACATTGAGGTGCTGGAGCGTGTCCAGAGAAGGGCAACGAGGCTGGTGAGGGGTCTGGAGAACAAGTCTGATGAGGAGCGGCTGAGGGAACTGGGGTTGTTCAGCCTGGAGAAAAGGAGGCTGAGGGGAGACCTCATCGCTCTCTACAACTCCCTGACAGGAGGTTGTAGCGAGGGGGGTGTCGGTCTCTTCTCCCAAGTAACAAGCGATAGGACGAGAGGAAACGGCCTCAAGTTGCGCCAGGGGAGGTTTAGATTGGACGTGAGGAAAAATTTCTTTACTGAAAGAGTGGTGAAACATTGGAACAGGCTGCCCAGGGAAGTGGTGGAGTCCCCATCCCTGGAGGTATTTAAAAGACGTGTAGATGAGGCGCTGAGGGACATGGTTTAGTGGGCATGGGGGTGTTGGGTCGACGGTTGGACTCAATGATCTTAGAGGTCTTTTCCAACCTCAATGATTCTATGATTCTATGTGTTTAGGAAAGGAAAAAATTCTTTAGGCGCACTGTATTCCCAGGTACTTTTACATACACCACAATGGGAAATGCAGGATTGTTTACAAGCTCAACATTTTAATTGTTCTTATATAAGGATAGGGTTTTTTGTTTGGGTTTTTTTGGTTTTTTTTTTGTTTGTTTGTTTGTTTTTAATTTAGGCAGCCAACAAGGCAAGTTTCTGTTGGTACACTATTGCTCATGGGGGATAGATTCTTAATCCGTAAAGCTGCCCCAGAGTTGTTCATGTCCGTATCAGCAAAACGAAACTCATTTAAGTAATTGTACCGAGGAAGAAAAAAAACACCAAACCAAAACCAAAAAAGGTGAAATATACCCCTCCCCAGCACATTCACGCAGAGAAAAGCATTTTTCCCAAAACACCTAAACAATACTGAATGCTACGCTTGCTGGGAGAGCTACTAGTGTGTTTTATAAAACCTCTGACAGTTGGAAAAGCTGATGGCATTTCAGGCACTCTCTTCAATGGGTCTCAAGGGTGTTCCCTTCTATCTATATTAAGTAGTCTAATAAAAGATACTACTACCTACAAACCTTGCCTCAGATAAGCCATCTCAGCTATGGTTAACAGTATCTAGTGGTCGAAGATTTTGTAGCTAGCAGGAGACTCAGATGCAAGTATCTCTAGGTCACGCTTAGACCTAACATTAAGTGATTAACCTTTTCCTGTTGAAAAAGTGTTAAAACACACAATTGAGAGCTACAGACTGATTCTTTGATTACTGCAAGGACCTCAGTGATGAGACTAAGGAAAAGTATTAAGCTCCCATTTGATTGATTGATTTTTTTTTTTTTTTAAATGGAAAAAATCACAGTGGGAGAAGTTTCTGGACTACTTGGGGTTTGGCTATTTGCTTGTGAGTTAGCCATGCTTTAGGAGCATGTACGCTGCTCAACTTTCCTCGGAGGCAAAAAAGAAGGGAATTTCATTGAACAAAGGTTTCAACTAAACCAGCAAAGCAGAGCATCAAACAATCTTTAATTTGTAAGATCAAAGACAGATGAAAACTGCCTTTTAATGAAGAGGCACTTGCTACTACAGCAGTAGCCAGACCACTGGTTTGGACAAAGGGCAAACAAATAAAACAATTTTAACATTTTGCATATGGAAACGACCTGGGGGTCCATCTATTTAACATACACAATTTCTGCAGTGTCACCCTCCAAAGTCTGTCCTTTCAACATCTGTTTTTCATTACACTCAAGCTTTTAACCTGCCAAGGCAGAACAATCTGAACAGGCTAGGCTGATACAAATTGTTTTCTACACAGAAATACTAGTGAGCATTCAACAGTTCTATGATACGTAAATCCTCAAACATACCTTGTCATATGTTCCCTTCTTCAGGATCTTCTCTGGCTTGTTACAAGACTCTGGGCTTTTTCTTCCAGATGCCTGAGGGTAAAAGAAATCAACATTAGGGACCCAAATTAGTTCAGACAACATGGTGGTTTGATGGTTTGGATACACAGCACTGAACAGAGAGAAATTACCTGTCTGATGAAGACAGTGAAATAGGGAAAATCTGGTGCAAGTGAAGACTAACACCATGGACTGAACACAATGCAGGAACCAAGAGTGGTGGAAAGTAGCATTGTATGGGCATGTAGGATGCAATACCTTATTATTTGCTGGGGGCAGTTTCTGACCAGGAGGTGGCTCTCGACTTGGCAGGCAGGAATCTGCACTGTTATCACTGTCACTGTCACTAAGGCTCAGTCTGAAAAACAAGCAGCAGAGAATTAGCATCACCAGGTAATAGGAAACTTAATTAGCTGTCAACTGAACCACACAGAGTTAAGTGAAATTCTCTTCTTTATTATAGACTACTAAATTGTCTGGGAGAAATGGTCAGTCTGTAATTTCCAAGAATCCCTTTTTTCCCAGCTGATGTCGCCTTTGCCATCTTCCATTCCTTGGGCAGGCAGAGTGGGGAGTTTTAGTTTACACATTACAGCCAGCGACTCTTTCATACAAGAGTCCCCTTAGAACAACTGTGTAAGTACCGCCTGATTTTCACAAACGGCAACTGTTCATTTTGGGCATTCATTCCAAGATCAGAGTACCTGCATGAGAGGCTTACCAACACCTCCGCTGAAAACACAGGCAAAAAAAAAAAGCATTTAGTGTTTCTATTGTGACCTTTGAGATTTTCTATTTATTCTCATTCTTCTTGTGGCCCTACAGATGTATTATAGCAGGTATACTACTTTTGATGAGTTTGAAAAACTGTTTATTACTTATCCCCTAAAGGTCTATAAAATATCCTTCAAAGTCTCTCTGTTCCTGTTTAGTTGATAATGACAGAGTGCAACAACGGATTTTTTTTTTTTGTTTTTTTTGGTGAACACAAGCATCATTTGAAATTTGCAGCTGCTATCTGGGCCAAGCATTTGGTTTCAAATATTCAGCCTGAAACTCCAGGTTTTGGCTACAACAGCGTTTCCTGAGGGGAGAAGGATGAAATTCAACTATTTCCATTGACTAAAGCAGGAAACAGCTGTTAACCAAGTCCCATAGGAGTCAAGTAACCAACTGTCAGCACGCACTATTGGCAAACACCGAGACTTCTCAGTTTTGTATCAGTCATATGCAGTAAGAAGAGCACACATGCTGACAGCCTCCACAACTCTTCTCTAATCTCTGCAGATCAAAGGTGTCACACACCATTCAGCTCAGCAGAGATCTGAAGACGACAATTAGGTGACTATTTTAAGGGGCTCAGTCACTAACACCTGCAAGCTCAACACACACCACTTCCCAGTGGCTTCCTCTCTTTGAGCTCCAGTGATCTCTCCTCATCCAATTCTGTTCTCACCCTGTTTTCATTGACTCTGTGTCCCCACCCCGTGCTAAGTACTCCACACATCTGCCCTCTCCCTCCTTCTCTCACACTTTCCTCTCACGCATAGCCCCATCACTTTGATTCCTCCCTCCAAATGGAGGACACACAAAAATACCAAACATGGAGGGCAAAAAGACAACAAGCATCTTTCTTCCTGATTTGTTACCACCTGGAATCCCGGCTGACTGGGTTTGCTTTGACTGCTGCCTCTTCTCCGGAGGAGCTGTCATCATCATCTGACTCTTCTGACTGCAGATCTTCCACCATGGAGCGCAGCGGGCCTGGGATCAGAGGGGAGACAGCAATTCAACACTAGGACACGTGCAGAAGAACTCCATCCAAGCTATCTGATCTAAACCGGATTAGTCATTATTAAGATACATCAAGATTTCTCAATAAGATGTCACCGGCATTTTCATTTTGCACAAAGATATCGCTAAAAGACACCGTATTCCACTCTCAAAACTAAAGCAGAGTTGACAAACTTTACAACTGCCGTAAAGCCACCCTAGCCTCCCCCCAAATCCTCCCACTCTCTTCTGAAATGAAAACAAAAGAACACATTTTTCATGCGTTTGGGGACTATTTTAAATGTCACTCAAGAGACAGTATTTGTAGCAACACAGCATTTGCTAAGGTTAGAAGATTTACTGTTGCCACAGTACATCTCTTTGGGTTATCAGTGGAGGAATCTGAAAAAGAAGCTATGTTACGCACTGGCAAAGTGATGAATATCGCATTTATAATTTTTAATAAAACATACATGAGATTGGAGGAGAAATATTCTGGTGACACTATAGATCAAGCAGCAGCAAACACATTTATAAACCGAGGCAGAAACCAAAGTCAACAGGGAAAGAACCAAATCCAGAGAGATACCCTACTCATAATAAATTAACTGCCAAAACAAGAAAAATACTTGTTCATGACTACACTAGGACATTATTGCCTTTTCTTGCTGAAGCGTCACAGCTTCAACACATGGTTGCATACAAGAAACTGTATGAGCCTTACATATGGTGCTGGGAAAACAGATCTAATTCTCATGAGCCTTTTAAGGTTATGCAAGGAAGATTTTAACAAATTTTATTTCTTGCAACACACCTTGACTGTGGTTCTGAGATGGCTCGAAATCAGAGTCAGAGCTGGAGTCGGAGCTGGAGCTGGAGTTGGAAGGGCTGGACTGGACAGACTTAACCCCCCATAAAAGGGAAAAAAAGAAAAAGAATCTTAACCTTTCTAATCCGGAAAACCAGCGCAGAGCACAAAGCACAGTGAGACAGAAGCATTTGAGCACTCTACAACATCATACATCACTGAATGCAGTTCTTGGAATTACAGAAAATAAACAAAATGCAAGGTGAATAAAGCCAACATTTATGAAAACTTTGGCACGCTGTAGCTCAGCACTCCTGGGCAGTAGCATCAACAGCTCCCACCAAAATCCTTCAGGCCACTAGTTTCAAATAGCCTCAAGTGATGAAATACAGCATTTGAAAAATGTCAAAGTGAAAAAACCCTCACTTTGAAATGTGAAAAGATGACTAGCATACAACCTAGAACAATTATCAAAGCCCTCTTAAAAAGTGTCTTTATTGTAACCCACCAACCTTCCCTCTGAATACCTCGTACTGATCATTAAACATGGAAAGGATGCCTATCCTAACTAGCTCACTTGATGCCAAAATTAGTTCTAAGTTATTACTGTACCCTCAAAACAGTTGCTTCTACACCATCTGAGCGATCGGCTGTACTGTTTCCAGTTTATTGTGAAAACATAAACAGAAACCAGCTAAACTTTAGTGAAACCAACTCCACTGACTGCCAGTATTCAGCAGAAATGCCAGGAGCATACTATGCAGTAAGAGTGAGTAAAAAGATATAATGAACTACTGCTAATAACAGCATCCAGAAACAAAGTTTTAGTGTTACATGTTTTTAACATAAACCCAGAGATTGTACAGCAATCACATGCTTTAGCCTAAAGGACCACGAGGTGGCAGTGAAGGCTAAATCAACTCTTTCATCCCCAATAGCAGCAGCGACTATTACAATAATCTTAAAGGGTTTTTTTGTTACTCAGTAGGATCTAGTTTAAAGATTCTCAATGTACTGTAACATTATCTTGCCTTTTAAAAAGTAATTCCCTGGAAATTTAGCACTTCAATTTCATTGCATCATTCCTGGAAATCCACCTATTACTTCCACTACCAAATCCTGATGCTAGAAAAATCACACATTCCCATTGATCAATAACCTTTATTACAGAAAGTGTTAATACTATAAAAACATTCTGAACAGGTAGAAAGAGGCACATCAGCAGCTTTGGGCATTAATAAGTGAAAGCGGCGGCAGGACTTTCATCCCAATATCACCCTTCCCTGTAATTTATCACCCAAGTATTGTTAAGAGTTTCATTTATTCAACTGTAAGAAGGCAGGGGAAAAATGTCAAAAAGGGGTACTACAACCCTTGTGAATTATGCAGTAGCAAAGGAGAATAATCTAACAAGTCCAATACCTGATATACTGGCACATGGCAGCAGCCCTATTTGTTTAGAAAAATTACAACATGAAAGTAAAGAGCAATATTTTCAAGATAACGGAGCACAGCTCTTGTGCCTTACCCACAGATTCAATCCTATTGTCCTTCATTCCCGATAATCTAGCAGGTGTTCCCTTAAAATGACTTAATAGGACCTAAGAAGCAGAAGTTGGAAATTGTACAGACCCCCGTCTCTCCTTTTGCCATTAACCCTATCAGCTATTTCAACTGTTTAGGAAGCACCCAGCTGGACATGCTCTGCACGCTCAGGCTGCAGTTACTGTCACCATGATATGACAAAAGCACATGCCGACAGTGGAAAAAAGCAATCCTGCCCTCACATCTCAGCCTCTCCCTTTTGTCAGGACTAGTGTTTAGGCTGCCAAGCATGAGGCCAGTACAGGGAACTGGACTTGATGGGGGAAGGGGAAAAAAAAAAAAAAAGAGAAAGGAAAAAAAAAAAAGGACAGACAACTAACTTTCAGCAGGAGCTGAAATGGAAGGAGAAACTCTTTCAGCCCATTGCAAAGTCACACGAGCTCTCATGCCAGCAGAACAAATGAGAGCAAGACTGTTCCTTTCAACAGCAGCCTGCAAAGATGTCAACTCAAAGCAATCGTAGAGTTGCAGCCTCAGAGCATGTTGCACAATACGTTGGCTGCAGCAGCAAAGCTGATTTAAGAGTTTCCGGGCCCCGGTCCACCTCCAGCTGCTCATTCGCTTTAGTGATGTGGCTTACCACACAGATCCACAAACAGCTGTACCAGTACAAACGATGGAATAGCAAACTGCAGCGTTGGGAGCAAAAAGAACCCCCCAGGGTGGAAAAGAAACTCAGTCTTCTCTGCTGATGCCAATGCATTATGCAGTTATACCCTTAAGCTTCAAGTTCCACAGAAACCTAAGCTGATCTGACTGGCAGCTGCCACGGTTCCCCCTCCATCACACTCAGTATTCCTACCCTCCTTCTGGGCTAGCGCTCAAATACCTCTCTCAACCATCCAACAGACACGAGAGCTGGTGCAAGAGAGGACACAGAAGCATACAAAGCTTGGTGGGGACAGGACAGGACTGCAGCAGACGCTGTGGAACCACAACCACAGTTTGTGGTTTCACGGAACAGTCTAAACAGCACTATCAGCTTACAGCTGCATGGTGAGTCCCAGGGGGATGGATGACACCTAAGAAATAATGAAGTACAAGACACTCAGGACTTCACAGATCAGCAGAGTACAGAAGCTTGCAGTGAGGGCCACGTATCTTGTATCGAAATGAGAAGCCTCCTACACACCGATGCAGCACTTCAGGTATAAGGCTAGAAGTGGAGAGGAGCTGCTTCTTCTTAATGCACAAGCTAGACATTTAATCAATCTGGAAAAAATCTTTGCCGAGTAACTTGAATTAACACTTCTCCAATAAACTCTTCTACTGGGAATCTTTTGCAAAAAAATCCTTTCTGAAATAAACACATCAATACTTACTGTATCATGGTGCTGATTAAATCATAATACGAATTGTCCCTAGAAGATTTATTCTAGTAAAACAAATCTTTCTAAAAATGGTCAGTAGGAAGCAGTTCAAAAACTCATGTGATGTTATCCTGTGAATCCTATTAGAAGATATATGGCTTCTTTATAGCAAATACAAAATATACAAGCGAAAAGTAGCCAGAGTTTGGATTTAAGTTGTGTCCTTCCCCTCCTACTTTTTTTTTTGGCCTTCTTTTGGAAAACAATTTTTAGAAGACAGGATGAGGAATGTTCTTAGTTGTAAAAAGGAAAAAAACATTTAGACAGCTTTTAAAAATAGTAGTACAATAACATAGTTTGTTTTATATTTTACAACACAACTTATTTAGGTTTAGTGGCATGTGGTTGTATTTTGAGCTTTAGCCAATAGCACATTTCTTACATGCCATGTCAGGAATAGGGGGGTTTATTTACATTTTAATACTGTTTTTTCAGAAACAAAACTGAAATTATTTCCTCCTTTTCTGAATTAAGATCACGTTCAAAAACATTATGTTATCATAAGCAGGTAGAAAGTATATCTACGCCTACTATACTCTAGCTCTATAAATGACACTGCAAGGGATGAACGAGAGACCATAACCTTAAACTCCGACTTTTATGTAACTCTGCCTGCAGATAAATCTAAATAGAACAGGAGGTAAACCAGGTAGCAGTAATGATTAATACTGATAGGATTTTCAAAGAAGAGGTTTTTTTGAGATACAACCCAGCCTAAGCATTTGCCAATGTGGTTCTCTATCTTACCTGAGGGAATATTTTTCAAGATCTTTTTCATGCAGGGATTTAAGCAGCATGCTTAAAAATCCTGGTAAAGGACAAATCCCTACTCACCTCTGACTTGAAAGAAGTTTCATCCTCTGAATTTGACTCCTCCATTTCCACAGGCTTTTTGATCTCCTTGGCCTCACTTTCAGATTTTACCTTTTCCACTTTGGCATTCATCTTCTCCTTGGTTTGTTTCTTCTCTGGGTATGAGGAAGACGAGGTTCTGGGAGATGTCCCTAGGATATTCTTTACCCCTTTGGAGCTACTCTTTTTTTGTTTTTTGGCACTAGGCTTTGGTGACTCCACATTGGAGGGCCTCTTGCTGGAAGACTTTAACTCCGGCTGTGGCCCACCCTTTGGAGAAGTGTTCTCCAGTTTGGTCTCCTTCACGGCCAGTTTTGGTTCCTTGAAAGCAGCTTTTGGAGGTGCCTTCTCCTCCTTAGGCAGTTTGTTCTCAGTTGGTTTTCTGGAGGAGTCCTTCAAAGGCTTGTTTTGTTCTCTTTCAAGGTCTTTGGAGGAGTTTTTACTCTCAGAGTCTTTTCTTGGCCTTTCTCTGTGCTCCTTGGTTACTTTGTGTGGCTTAGATGCCTTGCTACTTTCCTTGTTTGCATCCTAAAATTCAGTAACAGAAACATGCAAGCTAGGTATGAAATTGAAGCTCTGCACAGAATATAAAACACATTCTTATAAATCACATTAAAGCATTTTTTTCATGTAGACATCCACCCACAGGTGTCTAATGTACTTATTAGTACCTCTGAGGTAGACATCTAGATTTCCCTAAAGCTAATGGACAGAAATTGACAGTAGACACTTAGACATCTACATTAGGACAGGATGAAACATGTTTCACAAATGCCTGTTCCTTTCCATGCTCTATAAAAGGAGGTCTACAAACATCTATAGATGTATAATTCAGATTTAATCTGCAGGGTTAACATCTGAAGCCAGATAAGAGGAAACTCACTCAAGCTGTGTTACACAAAGTTATACTTCAGACCACATTTTAGGGAAAAAAACCCCAGCAACTAAAGAGTTTTTTAAGGTTAAATCACATCCATGGCAAATGCAAGTTATGATCGCAGCCTAGCCCCCAACTCACCACTCCAACTTGACAAAAATACCGAACGTCCCCACAACCATGAGAGCCAAAGTCTCTGACATCAGCAGGCATTTTATCACCTTTAATAAGAGCTTTAAGACACGAATCATTAGGACCCCGCCTATCCTACGAGTCAGGTATGCATGAAGGCAAAGGAGTACTTCCCTTTGCAAATTATATGTGAACTCAAAACGCTTATAGAAGTGGGTTTTGTGGGGAGACACTGGAGTATGAACTGGCCACGCTGAAATGCAAACACACATGCACCTCTGAGGACAACCTGGAGGAAGAGAAGCAGGAGACTACTGTCTCTTTAGCTACTGGCAATTTTCACCAGAGCTGGGGTCAGAGCCCTTTATTTCTCTCCTGTCTTCTGTTTTCTAATGCTTAACTCCTGACCAGAATTAAATCAGCCACTAACCGATAAGTCATCTTTATTCTGTTTCATAACATCAACATCAGAAGACATGACGGAAGTGCGAGAAGCATTTAGAGCCCTGAACAAAATGGGTATCAGAATTGAATTACACCATGAAATGAATTGCTGTTAATATTTGTGACCGTTCAGGCTGATAAAGTGTATGTAATCTGCTTCAAAACACATTGCCTGTGGATTGTTTCTCCTATGTAAAATTACACAAAAATAGCTTCATCACACAAGTGAAAAAAAGAAAACTTAAGCTGCTTCTGAAGCCTCAAGAACTAGATACTGCTGGATGCAAACATCAAATCTTGAAATCACTAGTTTGACCAAGTGCAGCATATTTTATGTTCTTGATACCACCACCCTAAGTAGTCCTAATGACAGAGGAAGTGCTGACTCTCTGCTCAGCCTTGCTGCTAAGAGATGCAAGGACTCAGAGTACAGCTTTACATGACAGACAGTGAAAGATCCGCATAATTCATCCTCAGCATCAAGGATGCAAGTCAGAACAATCAGAGAGGACTTCATTCAACTTTGTCTGCTATAGCAGATCAGGAGGAAGATATGGTTCACCAAAAAAATGCCAGTCTTGGACATTTAATTTTCTTTTCAGAATTTCCCTGGAGAGAAGTCTAGCAAATCATAAAAAGGCCTCCTAAATTATTATAAGTTCCAGACCATTAGCTAGTGAACTACAGAGTACAAGGAAGACATTTGCAGAATTAGAAGTAGCCAGAAACAGCTGCTGAACAAGCTCTTAGCAGCAAGTCCTGAAAGACTTCTTCACTTCAGGATGACACAAAAGCATGCTTCACTCACCTTTGACCCATGGGATGGTTTGGTCTTCTTGGGATCAGAGAAGGCAGAGAGTGGTATTGTGGGTAACATAGGATAATCGGGACTTGGCCTTGAAACAGTTTCTGCTCCTTCTGGCATTACCATCACCTAGTAATAAAGAGGAGAAAAATTATGTATGAGTAACGTCCCATGGACTATTAACACATGATTATGTTAAGTCACTTGCTCAATTTACACACTATTATTAATCTTTTGGATGTTTTTCCCCCTGCTTAAAGGCCATAAAAAGATATTGTCTAGGTAATGCTCAGTTTCAAGGCAACTCCTCAAATACAGAACATTAAAACCACAAAAAAAAAAAAGGCAACATGCAGTATCAAGTATCTTTCCCAAAGGGAACTCCAATATTCTGAGCACAAGCAGGCAATAAAGCTCTGGACAAGAACTGTGTGTTCTGCTGCAAATGCTCTTACCCCACAAAAGCGTAGCAAGGTAAATCTGGAAGGAATGAGCAAGACTTCATCAATTTAGGAGAAGCTGAATTCACTCATTCGGTGGGGGGGGAAGAAAAGAAAAAAAGCAGGCCTTGGGTCTCTCCCTTGACAAGATCTTAACACCAAGCACTGAGCTCCATGAAACACTTTCCTTCTTACCCGCCCTATATTCTGTCAGAATAATCCTGTCAAAAATTTCAACTAGATGAATGGCATCAAAAGTGATTCACAGATGAAACACCTCAATACATAAGGAATACAATAATGTACTACGAAAATCCTAGAAAACAAACAATGTTCTAGCCACCCTATGGCTGAAATGAGCACTCTCCTCTTTGGGCCCAATACAGAAAAGCACTGGCACACTGAGGAACATCTGGACAGATCAGCTTGGAATACTTGCCACTCTTGAGATTTATTATTGACAAACTTCCCCACAGCTTTTTTTACTTTTTTAATTTTTCAGGCTAGAAACATGTTTTTTCAGAAGAAAATTTTGCCAGCAGTTAAGACCATCTTGAATGAAGTCCTTGAACAGAACATAATTACACATTACTATATATGGGGGTGTCTCAGAATACAGTCTTGACATTCTCTGGTTAAAAACTTCATGCACTTTGTGGCTTATACTAATTTGCCTAGATCTTGTTGTTATTTGAGGATCATTTCTTTAGTCTATCACTGCACATTACTTTCCCAGAAGTAAGAGTTCATCCACTGTAGCAACCCATATCTTATTGTGCCTTCAAGAGTGTATCTATTTTTTTCCTCTCACAGCCATTTTCATTCTATATTCTAACACTTTTCCTTAACTTTTTATTATCTAAGCCACAAGCAGCTGACCTCAGGTTTAGAGGACATTTATTGACCAGGAAGTGCTAAGCATTAAGCTTTCCTGTGGCAAAGATGAGTAAGGAATAGACTGGAAGCATCTCCTTTTTCTTGAGCTTTTCTATACTGATACAGCTCACGACATAAGGAAGGTCACAGATAACTGTAACTGCCTGATGGACAGCGTGCAACATCCACAGAAGATCTCCATTTCCAGAGGGGTTTTAGTGCTTTGATATTAATGGTCACATTAAAATTGAAAATGAAGTGCCACCAATCACGCAAGCAATGGTTTAGTTCTGCTTCAAGTGCTGCAGTCGTATAACCAGGAGTAAAAATTGGCTGGGTCATCCTTTAGATGAACGTAGAAAATTGTAGCCTGCTGGGCTGCAGCTAAAAAGAAACCCCAGAGCAAAACGAGATCACTACACATTTTAGCAGAACCTCTTCAAATCTCCAATCCCTTTGGCACTTACCCCTCCAGCCCTAATGAGTTTGCGTCTGAATTCCTTGGTGGGGTTGTTGAAAGTCAGTTTCTCACAACGAAGGTGGTTCACAGGTGGGTTTCCCTCCAAATTTAAGAACAGGTCGTATGTGAAACAAACCTTTTTTGGCTCCTCCTAAAAACAAGACAGACTTTGGGCAAACGGAAGAGGTTTGGCAAGCACTCTAAGTCAGAGGATTCAAACAGTCACTCCTGAAAATCCCAAATAAACCACTGAGTAAGTGTTGCATTTACAGAGTTTTTCATCATGAGATCAGAGAGCTAGAAATTAAAATATTTGTGCCTACTAAGGTGCCTGAAGTTAACATACCGTTCATCAGAAACTCAGGCATGGCTTTTCACTGCAAAAGCAACGTACAGACAAGGATACTGACTGACAGTTGTCTGTTTAAAGCCTTTCAAGTCTTCCTAGGAAAGCAGATTCACAAGCTTTATCCACTACTCTGTTTCCGCTGAAATTCAGATCCTATCTGCTTTGGGAAGCAACGGAACTATAAATATCAATATTAAGAAAAGCATAATCCTTTATTTAGAGAAGGAACAACTTCTGAACTCACAAGATCTCTGCGGGTACCGAGAAAAGATTAAACGCAACGGTAAAAGGATGACTTGTTCTGTAAAATCCTTTTCAATATGCATATTGCAGAGGCTGAATGGGAAGATATATCCTAGGCTTTTGAACTTTCCAAGGGCACTTTCACTGAAGAAATCCAGGGTTTGTATGCATGTTGGGGATCATCTGCGCCTCACTGGTTTTGTTCCACCTGCTGCAGAAGCACAGCAAACGCTCTGCATTTGCAGTACAGAATGGAAGAAACCTCTTCCTTTTTTTCCTCCCGAAATTGCAAATATTGCATACTACTTGTGCATTACAAATATCGATATGACATTTCCTGGTATTATCTCGTATTCTGCATTTCAAGATGAAAACTCAAAATGTGGCAAAAGGGACTCTCCTGCAGACCACACAGAGCCTTACAGTACATTCAGTATTTACATGAATGCATCCCACATGCCTCATTCAATGCGCAACATCAAGCGGCTGCACAGCAGTCTTTTCCACAATTCATATCCAGCAGCTTGATTTCCTGGTGTAGTTGCATTGTTGTATGGGAACAGACGCCGCAGGCTTCTAGCCCAAGCCATTAGATTTGCTGAAAATAGGTTGAAGCGTCAAACAGCTTCAGACCACACTGATTCCTGCTGTTTGCTTGGTGGATACCAACGTCGCTAAATAAGCCATTTCTTGTACAAACCATACCTCTAATAATAGAAAGTGTGGTAACCACACCCGGTTTACATCAAAATCAGTATCCTAAGCCCACCTGGGAGTCAAGGTCTTGGATCCTAACTCCCCAAACAGGGGAAGGCAGACATCTAAGCAGACACATACAACAGAATTGTCTCCCATTAACAAGCAAGAACATGCTACCAACACGAGGGTCTTCAGACCCTCTTTTGGAGAAGTCCTCAAGAATCCACGCGCACTTGAAAGGGTTCAATGTCTACTAAAACACATGAATGGGAGGAAAAAGAAAAATACTTGCAAAATACACTGCCTTGTCATTTTCCTCTTTTCTAGGACCGTTCTCATTAACTGAATCATTAGTGAACTCTGCATGTGCGTGCTTACACTGGAGTTCAAACAGCAGCTGTAGAAGGTCCCTCAAAGTCTAATAAATTTAAATGAAGGATGAATAGAAATCCAAATGTGGCCTAAGAAAGGTTTCTAAAATGCTTTTCCTAGTTTACAACATAGAATAAATTGATCTTGGATATATTAGTCAAAGCAGGCTTTAGTCAAAAGCCGTGTATGCCATCACATTATCAGAGCTCCGCTTTGTCATTTGCCTGTTTCTTTTCAGAGCAGGAGAGGGGCAGCAGATTAATTTCCCTTTTATCTTAGGTATCCCATTTTTTATATAGACTCAAAAGCATCAGGGAACGTCCCAAATATTTATTGTACCTCTGTCGACGAGCTTCCACTTTTTGTAAAATTAAGACAGTTTTTCAATGTGATTTTTCTCCAACTCAGAGATCACGACCGCCCTGGGAACCGAGCCCTAGCCAAGTACCACGATCATTAAAATATCCTTTGTATCGTCTCAGGCCATCAGAAGCCCCCCACCCAAGTGAATAGTTAAGATTACAGCACTCCTAAAAGAACGAGTACAAAAGTCTCAAAGCAAAAAGCTGCAAATAAACATTCTTTCCTTTACTGCCTTCACTGACAGCTAATGATTATAGCTCAAGACACTCCAAAGCCTAACCCATCCGGTCCTCCCTAAAAGGTTGGAAGGGGGGGGCGGGGGGGAACAAACCAAGGAAAATCTCTCTCAATTGACCTGGACCTACACATCCTCTAACTTTAAATGGAAAGCCACACTGAATCCACAGTGCCACACTTCAAAGCCTTTCTAAACAACACGTTGGGATCTACACGTCCTGCTGCTTGGAGTTGCAATAGAGTATAGGTAGTTTTTCACCCTACAAACTTAGGTCCAGGCAGTCTGTTTTCATACTGCAACACCACCTCACGTACTCCTGCTTGAGTAGCAGCTATACACACAAGCCAAACTTTACCCTTAGATGATTCCACCTTCTGATATTCAACCCTTGATGTCAACAAGTAAAACTGAAAAGGGGAGAGATTTACTTTCTGTGGATATTTTGTTGCTCTCTGAGACCATAAGCTTTTCTAAAGGGCCTTACTTCCAAGAAAGGCTTTAGAAAAGATGGATCACATCCATTTCTAACTGGTAGATATTGTGGTTATTCAGATTAAAATTAGGTGGTCAATTTGGACATGAAATGGTTAACCTGATATGGCACCTCTGAGCAAGCCACCTTAGAACCTCAGTTTATATCTGCCCCTTAAATCTCACGATGCCAGAAGAGTAAACTAGAAGTGTGTACCACAAAGCTAGGGCCAAGCTTTATTTGCAGCCGCTCTGAATTTCCCTCCATCCAGTGAATCCCCCTACTCCACCCCCCTGTCTCCAAAGCTGAGTACGTTACGCTTTATTTTTACTGTTTTCCAGCTTCCTGTCTGCCACTGCACTGTTATGAACACTGAAGTTGCTTTATTTTTCTTCCGAGTTCTCAAGCAATGGGTTAAAGTTCTTTTGGCACTTTTTGTAAGAGGAGGAATTTTTCAAAGTCTTTTGTTAAAATTTCCTTGTCCTGTTTTTAAGGCAGGGTGTGCCCTTTGCCACTTAAACACAAATCAAAAGAATTTCACTGGTAGCGTGCGCATAAAGCTCATAAATCACTTTTAGAAGGCCATAAAACAAAATTATCTACAAAAATCTAGCACACCAAGGAAGCAGACTCATGGTTATTCAATAACTATAACATCGAACACTACTTCCCTTTTGCCACAGATCCAGCCTGACAGAGTCATTTATCCGTAACCGGTTCATAACGTCTGTATAAATGAAACCCCCTTTCCAGGCTTGTACAACCCGTTTGACTAGTCTTCCACCCCGCTTAGAGACAGGACATTTAAAAGCGAATAGCCCAATATTCATTTTTTGAAGCAAGTAGCCTTATGTCACACTCTAAGAAGTCCACGAAACACCCTTATCTGTTTTGAGATTTTACAGGGTTAAGTAAAATAACAGAGAACAGCATTTTGGAACTCTCTGCCATCTGAAGCCTATTACTTTGTCTGAAAATTAGGAAAATACACTCACTGCTCAAAGACAAGCATTTAATAATCTACTAGCTCTTACAAATACTAGATATGATGCTGGCATGGCTAGTAAAGCTGCCACTTTTGACAACGCTTCCTTGCCAGGCACTGCAATCTACTCAGCATATGGAGATGCCTATCAATGTGCCACACTGAATGGCTACTGAAACACACACAGCCCGGGTGTTTTGGCCAGGAAAACAGTCTGCTCAGATAGAAGAATGGGTAAACTGACAATACCTATTAATTTATGACAGAAAAAGGTAAAAAAAAAGATTCACCACTCATCAGCAGCACATAAGAAAGTGCTGCAGGTTTGGTAAGTAAGACAATACAGAGCAGACCTAAAAAACGTGAGCAACAAATGCTTCTACCTAAAGGCTAGACAAAATGACAAGTTTTACTCCTCCTTCCACAACTTTCAGCAACACTGAATAAATACTACCAGGTTAAATCTACTCCTCCTTTCCTCAAACCTGTGCAGACCCAGCCCCAATAACACCACAATTTGTTAAGTAAAATCAAATGCCTCATGCAAACACGGGCTCTTCAGCAACCTTCCTTAGGAGTATTTCACAAGCCAAGACCTTCCTGATGGCACAGTCCTGACACGTAGTGCTAACTGATCTCCAGTTCCACCTACCCTGCCACACGTGCAACCCACCTACAATGTCTCCACCGAGTTCCTACTCTGAAACACAAATAATTTCTCCCTTCTCCAATATTTTTCTATGTATTTTATATATCACGCCTATAAATATTGCAGAGGGGGTAAAATATGCATTTTTTTTATTTTGAACCTAACTGGAAAAATCAAATGGATTTCTCTGCTTTCTTTGCTTATCTCCCTTTTCACTAATAGAAAAAGCCCAAGTTACATGTATGCATTATGTAAATACTGGAAGCCTTTTATCTCTAGCACTGAAACTGGGAGGTAGTATCTTTAAAGAAACTTTAATACATCATCTTATCCACGTTGCATTAAAGAGACTTTAATACAACATCTTATCCACGTTGCATTAATATCATCTGCCTTATATCAGGATAGCATGAAAGTATACTAGACCTTTAGCTTTTGGTGCGTGTGGGATTGATCTAATTTGATTAGGATGCAAAAAAGGTAACGGGATGAATACCAAAGTCATACCTGTATTACAGCCTCCAGATTACAACATATGCCACTATAAGACATGTAGTTGGAGACAACAATGAGGCCATGGAAAAAGCCTCAAGACTGTTGAAATTGAGTGGGGGAGAGGGAAGGGGAAGAGCAGTAGAAAAACAGCAACGCATTTATTGTACCCAGTTTGTATTGATTCAAGCACCAGAAGCCACTAACAGCAGCCCTCATTATAGGAAGGAACACAAAGGGTTTAAAAATAAAAATAGCATACTAACATTTTCAGTCCAACAGTCCCAAATGATCCACTATCATTAGTCAACTGTGCTTTCAAAAGCTTTATCATTCAACCTGCTGAGACCCTGCCATTTGTTTTTCAGGTTCAGTTACAGAGGCAAAGGCTCCAGCAGGCCACCAATATCAAATGAGACTGCAAGTCCTGTGGCCTGTATAGACCACTGCAACTCTCTAGAAAGCTCAGATATACAAACTGTCCAGGTTCACAGCAATATTCGAAATATATATTCTGTAATTCAAATGACAAGACTGAGAAAGCACCTACTTATTGAGGAACTGAATTACAGCACAGGAAGGACAAACACATGCCAACACGGCATAACTATGTTTGTAGAGGATAAGAACAGGCTCTTGCACCTTTTTTAATACTCTGCTGGCACTTCCCTGTCTGACAGAAAGGCACCAAACGCTTCAGTGGGGCCAAAAGCACTGACTCTCCTACTCCAGACAACGACGATAATAAAAAGAGAGTACTCCAACACAAAGAGTTAATGGGCAGTTTTATGCAAAGTTGCCTAAAAAAAAAATCCCTGATGAATTTCATTAAAACCATTCTTAGTAAAACTGTTCCTTAGCAGTGAACAGGCCCATGTTTCTTAGCCAAAGCAAAGAGTACACTCGCTCTGAGAACCACTATTTATCATCCTAGTAACAAATTAGAACAGGGAAAGGAAACGGCTAAGAAAGGAGGCTTAAACTGTGGAAAAAAATTTCAGCCAACCATGGCAAAGATCAACCTCCACAGATTAGTTCACTCCCTCTTTAAATCCTTTCTCTTCTCACCTTTACAAAGCTAAACATGCATCGATAAACAAATCCCAAAGCCTTTGCAGCTCTTGCTTTAACTGAGAGGACACACATCAACAAAAACATGCTAGAAGGTAGGGAGCATATGGCCAGAAAGACCCACCCGACTCCTCCTGCCCAGCAACCTACGAACCAGCATTTTCTACCCAATCCCAGAATCAATCCATAACATCTACTTGAAAAGAGTTATTCAAGGATGAGTCCCAAATGCTGTAATCAATTCAGGCAAATTCAGAACAATATACGCTCTACACACAACAGCTGATCCCCACCAGTGTCAACAGGTTTACAGAAATCAGAGTGAACATATGGTCTCAAAGTAGTAAAGACTTATTTATTTGGTGCTTTCATGTCACATTATTTAATGCAGGAGAAAATAGGCTGTATTCTAAGCATTTGACACTCCTCTTTCCCAATCTTTTTAATTTCTACTATATCCCAGTCTTTGCTTAGCTTTTGCCTTTGCATTTCTATCTTTGCAGAAGTATTTACCTCTTACCTTTCCTTCAACTCCACTTACTGAAAATAATCATAGCTCTTAGTATTTCAAGATGACATTACCACCGGGCAATAGTGGTCAGAGAAGCCAAATTCTTCACATCATCAGGCAGCTTCTAAGCTTCCAGCAATCGTAAGCACCATGATTAACTTCCAAATGTGCAGAGAATAACATTTGCTGACATAAGGATGGAAAAATTACTTTTAAGCAGTAAAAACAAATTTTAAACAACTTCAGTGTAGCTCACGTATTTCCAGTTCATGGTTGAACCTGGGAACACGTCTCTGTTCAAATGACGTGCTGAAAGATGGAAGCTGTCATGTTTTCCCTCAACCATCACTTGCCCCAATTTAATAATGGGAGGGGCTGTCAAACTCCTTTAATTAGTCAATTTGTCAATCAGCTTAAAAGTGGAAAAGAACTTCTCCATAATGCACGCATCTAAAAAACAGGGCAAAGGTAAGTATTTTGAAGATTTGTAGTTTTGAAAACAAGTCTGCAGCTAAACCTGATTTCCTATTTATTTTTCATCTTTCTGAAAACCAAAATGCCAAAACCAAACCGCCTTCTCCTAAATTAACTGCTACTTCCATTGTTTCCACTAAGAGACCACCTATTTCCCTTATTTATAAAAGCCATCCTACCCCTAATGCTAGAAAGAACAACTACGCAGTCACGTGTTTATAGAAACAATGAGAAGTGATGACCTCGGTGGGTGTGAAACCAAGTTATATTCAGAAAAGCTGCCAGTTCCATATTCTGTGAGGAGCATATGAATATAAGGGACAGAGAGAAAGAAAGCATATGAATGCAGACGACAGTCATTACAAACAAGTGCACCTACAAAAAAAATATAGGAGAGGCAGAAATGAGAAGGAGAGAAAGATCTGAGGACTTGTGAAAGACAAAGCCATCAGAGACCTGCAGGGAAAAGGCAAGAGTGAGAAAAGACTGCATGAAGAAAGGAAGGAAAAAATAAAAAGAGTAGAAACAAAACATAGTTCATCCATCACAGTCATTCAAGATTCCCCTTACACAAAATCAGCGTGGAGAAGTTGACATTTTTTGGTCAGGAACATAAAGGTAGATTTAAGACAACATACAGTGCAGATGAAGAGTTTCCCGATTTCCATCCAAAACCTCAGAAAAGCCACCAGAAGTCAAACTACTTTTAAGCTTTTGAGGTTTTTTTTTCTGCACTCAAGTCATAGTTTTCAGTATTTGCCAAAAAAGCTGCTTCTATCAACAACTTTCGTCCCCTACCCTCTAACTGCCATTTCTCTTCACATCCTTTTGGCTTACCCCGCCCACTGAAAAGAAAGTTGTGGGCAAAACGTTCCCAGGTTTAGAAGACAAGTCTTCTTGTGGTTCAGTCTCATTATTTGGCTTATTGCTCAGACTCATAAACTGGGGTAAGAGCAATGCGGTAGGCCAAAAAACCAAACTAAAATGTTAATTATTCACAAATGACACCGCCAGCAAAGTATACTGTGCTAGACTGGGGCGAGAAGGAAACTATAGATGGATACGTTTGTGGGAGGTACAATGGGAAAGGACGCTGGGAAGCCAAATAGAATTAGGTTGTTAGATGTGGTCTGCTGTCAACAAAACCCGGGGTAATGGCTTGTGCTTGGAGGGTCGAGGTGGGTAGGGGTGAGAGCATACATTATAGCCATGTGGCTTAATAGTCAAATTTTAGTTTATTTAGGTTCCCTCTTAGGGATAATAAGCAGAACTTTTTTTTTTAAGTAGTAATCAAAACCAGAAAGATTCAGTATTCATGTTTAACAAAACAATCTAACTGAAACTGAGTTAATATGAATGCAAGTGCCCAAATCCCTATTTTCATAACCTTCTTCAAGTCATGTAGCATGTGACCTCTGTGGTAAGACTTAAAGCAAGCAATAAATCCCAAATTTTAACTTTCATATACTTGTTGGCAATGCATCTTAAGATTTAAAATATTTAGTGTTTTCTTTTTGGAAGAGTACTGAATCAGAACAACAATATTTTTAACACAGCTGTAAATTTCTGTCCTATATATGCAAATCTTTGTCTTGGGCCTACACAAATTTTATATCTGTACAGTTCATTTAATAAGGCTGCAAACAAAAAATGGATTTTTTTAATATATTGCCAGTCAACACAGTATTTACGAAAGTTTATAAAATCAGTGGTTTATGTTTATTTACTTCCCTGTTTGCATAAAATATTTTAAACTGCTTTAATATTATCCATGCTAGAGAAGCTTGTTACAAGTGGTACAATCTCTGTTCAGAATCTCTAGGACCATCACACTGTCCTGATATTACCTTTCTATACAATTCCATTTCTGCCAAAAGCTTTCTTTTGAAGTCTGGCAGGAGCTTCCAACTCCCAGTTAAATTCTATTTATTAGACTAATAAAAAACACACACATAAAACAGTCACATAATTTAGAGTCTTTCTGTCAGGCAGTTTCAGGCTCTGGCACATCTCAAAACAATTAGAAGACCAGAAATCAGATTCTACCTTATTTTTGAAGTATACTTCAATGGGCATAATGAAGCCTGCGTAGCCAGACTCCTCCACTTTGTAAGGGGGCTCCTTGCACACTGAAAAGAGAACAGACAAATGTTAACTTTGAATATAATGCAACTTAATCTGAGCCAAAAAGGAGTTGCAAGATGAGAAATGGGCCTCTGACAACTCAGGACACATTTAAAACACTGACCTTTGTGAAAAAACAAAGTAAGATGGTGGTCATGGGCTTAGTTAAGAACATGAAAATCTGTTCTTAGCTCCTCCCATGGAAAGGAAACATAAAACACTCCATGCCAGAGTCTCCGCAAGATTCTTCCCCCCCTTTTGCAGCAAGATACAATTACGTTTCTGTGCTGTTCCACAACAATGCAAACTGCCAGTTAAAGCTGTCTTGCAAAAATGGCAGAGACCCACAAGGTGGGAATTTGAACAGTACGGAAAGGTAAAATTTACTTTCATGCCAATATTTATTAATCAAAACACTACACCATGTGAGCGGATTTTTTTTTCCTTGAAATGCTCTCCTGCAATGCTCAATCTTCGTAATTACGTAACAGCCATACTACAAGCTGCTTCATCCAAACCTCGTAACAAACCTGAAGGGCAGGTAAGCACTGCTATTTATTTCACATACAAGGAAACGGAGAAAGGTTAAACAGTTTGCTGCTAAGGTCACAGTGCTGCCTACTGCAGAAACATCGATTACAAAAGTTAATCGCTTCCAAGAAATTAATCTACGTGCTTCCTGCCTCAGCTCCCCCATCCCGCTACCTGTTGTTCATGCTGCTGAATCCTTCCTATCGTCTACCACTGCATTTCAGTATAGCGATAGCCGACTCAAAGGATTCTAGGATCATTTATTTGGCCGTGACATAGCTATACATAACAGCTGCCAGAAGAAACATGAGACCAACACAGAGATTCTCCCTCTCAGGAACCGGATGCACTTGCGTATAATTTATGCAGTACAATATATGTAAATAAAGCCAATTAAGTAATTAGGGGAATTCCGTGCAAATCTTTTTACTTTCTCTAAAGAATTCCGAGTAATTAATATGATTAGGAAACAGTACCTCAAACCTAAAAAGCACACAAATTATTTGCCTTTAATGTACATACATTATCTCTAGCTCTAAGCACTTCTACCATCATTAAGGTGCTAGAAAGCAGTACTCAAAATTCAACTGTGAAAAAAGAGCACATCTAAAAATAATAAAAATCTATAGACTTGCTTTAACTTGAATTTCATATAAGAACCCTATCGTTTAGGGGGAAAAAGCCCAAAACCAAAGAACAGTGCCATTATGGCAGCAGGAATCTTAAAGACTATCTGCCAAGCAGCCTTTGTTCCTTTGCTGCTCTATTCTAACAAAATTACTACACAAGCAATCTGCTAGCAGCACAAGCCTACCTTCACCAGTAGATTTTGCTCCAAGTAAGAGCGAACCATCTGAAGAAACCCTTCAAACAAATCTAGAAATAGTATGCATCTGCCATACCATTTATGTACAACCCAGACACACTTTGGTCAAAAGCAAGCTGGCATTATGAGCAAGCTGAAGAAAGCATGCAAAACCTAGAGATCAGAAAAAACTGCCTCTTTAAAGGTAGATTATATGGCAACCGACTGAGCAAAGACCATATACTATCCCAACACAGTTGTTTGTAATGAAGTAATTACACCAGATGACAAGAATTGTAGCACAGCAGATTGTAACTTTTATTCTATAAATTAGCTTTCAGCCCAGTATTGCTCTTGCTTATCATACATCAGTTTTACTACATCAATTTGAAGGAGATATTATTAACATACAGACTAGATTCACATCCTTATGAGCTGAACACCTTTGAGTTACTTTCCACTGTGGACTCTCACAAATAACCAATGTAGTAGGTAGTCCTAAGACATCCTGCATGACCAGCAGTCTTCCAAAGAAATATTTCAAAGAATGCACATTATGAAGTAATTTACAGCAATACTCTTAGGCAGCCAGCATTCCTTGTAACACTACATAACAATAACACTACAGATGCAGTTACACAATCTTAAGCAGAACTAACTCTGCGCTGCTGCCGAAAAGGGCAATTCCTGCTCCTCCACCTCAACCATGCGTTCCTGCTGCCCCGTGCCAAGAATAAGGTTCATGTTGCTGCACACTCAGAAAGAGCAATGAACAGATCCAGCAGAAAATAACACTACAATCTGTATACTCTCCCCAACCTTGCTGACTTCACAGTGCTTGCACACATACGCGCAGCTGGAACATACAGCCAGTGGCAAAAAGATCATCGCCCCTTTGGCACCATTGATTTCTGCTGGCTTGAGTACTACCTGAATTGGCACGTAAGACTAGAAACTGCAAGAATCCTGATGGCTACTTAATGACCAGTGCAAAAGTCTACATACTCCAGTACGTATACAAGCCCACTATTTGAGCATCTCTCACCAATCACATGCTTCCAGCTTGTGTTGGCGAATATTAACAAATCAAACCCATCTTTCCCATTTTGTAACATGAATTATCTTCTGCTGTCCCTAAGTGTCTTGAGAACCTGATGTACTAATGCTTAAATAAGAGGAGAAAGCATCTCACCTCCAGCCCTTTCATCAGAAGAAAGGTCCCATTCTCCCTGACCTTCCTCAAACAAAGACGGTAAAGGTTAAAGCTGAAGTGCACGCAATGTACATTTTGCTCCTCTTTAAGGAGATATTTTACAGAAAAGTGACAGTCCAAGACAACCTTGACTTGCACAATGCTCTTTCATACAGAGAAGGCCTAATAACACATCTTCAAAAATACACTCACCTCGCTTGGGTTTTGGGAAGCTCTCGTGTAGCCGAAAGACCACCCTTTCCACAAAATGCTGGATGTCACACTGCTCCGGGCCACGGACAAACACCATCCAGTCATGAGTAAACCCTTCGGTGGTGGGCTTTTTCCGCAGTTGGGCTCGGTGCCCCAGCTCCAATTTTACTTGAACCGTGCACTGTTTTAGGATAGAGGCAAGACTATAAGCAAAATGAAAACAGCTTACATGTTACGCATAATGCTGAGCCCCACAGACAGAAGACACTAGATCACCGCAGGGGAGGAACACGACAGCCTCCACAGAGAGATTCGGCTAATTCTGAAAACTACAGTGTTGTCAACAGAAAAGGTATCATAAAATAGCTCCTAGCACCATTTCATACCTATTTTCTTCCTAATATTAGCATTGCAGAGAAAACAGCTTTAGAAGAGGGATAGGTTTATCTGCCTCACTTATCAACTAAATTGTCAGCAAAGTCCTAATTGCGGAATCTTTATTTCTAGAAAGTGTCAGAGACAGAACTTGATGTTCACAGCTTACAGAATTCACAGCACTGACAGAAAACTAATCTTAAAACAGGAAAAATTAGATCACAAATTGGTGGTTTATGATATTCTCTGGAGTATATAATCCATTAGAATACAGCTATGGTGCTCCTTGTATTCTTTTAAATACATTTTATTAACACACTTTCAGAGACCAAGTCTAACATATAGCATGCCTGCACAATATCCAACACTAAAATTACCTAATTCTGATTTGCACTCCCGAATCCTACTCTAATCACAGGATAAGAGAGAAGGTGTATTCAATGTCTCACTCAGAGCACAAAAATCCCATTAAATGTCTTAAAGAACAGATTAAATTAATTGTGAAGATCCACATATTATTGCAGACTTCACAGTCAGAAGAAAGCAAATTAATTAAACAGAGGAAAGGCAAATGTGACACAGACAGAAATTAAAGCAAGCGAATCTTAGGGCAAGATTTGTAGAGACAGGGAATAACGCCTAAGGTATCCGACTACTTAGTAATTTTGTGCATATACATTATACAAACTAGACCAGCAGCAGAGCGATCTCAAATTAAACCCAACAAAATCCAGCTTCAGCAACTGGAAGTTATAAAAATGGGGCAGTTTTTAGTCCTTACCCCTTTCTTCACCTACGACTTGAAAATAAGTGTCTTGTTCTTTCTGGCAGGTCTCAGTTACCACTGGGAGAGGCAACATCATTTGTCATTACCTGTATTACAGGTGGACACAGACCCAAACTGAGGGCACGATGTTAGACAATGAATATAGAAAGAGCGAGCTTCCCGAGCTCTAGACAAATGTTTAGGAAAAGCATTATCTTCATTTTCCCACTGAGGAACTGCAACAAGGAGTACGACCATGATTAACGCTCAAAAAATATTTTGCATCGCCAATCTGACATTTTATGGGAATGTGATTTTCAGAGTCTGGTTAATACTTTCTGAAAAAGCATAAGTCACTCAATCTCAGTATTCTTTTCTTTGTAAAAAGATCACACAGGAGGTCTACAGAGTAGACCTACAGAGCATCAAAGCTCGACCTCCCAAATTGCAGTCCAGTTCTAATTTCAACTATAAGCCTTAACACACTCTTTCAGGCAATTCTCTTCATAGTAAAATACCTTCAGCTGCCATCCAACACATCAATTCTCAGGGACAAACTCATCTAATTAATTGCTTCACCTCTTTTACTACAACATTTCTTTAGGTTACCTTCCTCTGCAAGTTCTCTTGGCAGGCCATTTTTCTCCCATTCTGCGCTTTAGGGCTTATCTACACTGGCTCTGTCTCGCTCCTGCGCTAAAAAATGAAGGTACACGGCCGTCTGTTCTTTCATGTCGTATTAAGGAATAAGAAAAAAAGGCAAGGTGTGTTTCACTCAAAGCACAGCAATCTCTCCTATGGTGGAAGAGCACTACGTGGAGACAGTCTGCCTAAATCCCAAGCTCACATAGGAGGGTGCTTGCAGGCCTGCTTTATCTGGGATACTTCCCACAGCGTTCACGCAAGCATTCACATCCACTGAGCCAGTCTGTTCTGCAGCTTCACGTTATCGATTCCATAATTACCCTTTAAATTGTGCTACTGTTGCCAGTTACTACCCCTCTCCAGAGAAGTGCAAATGAGTGTCAGTCTACAGAATTTGCCTTTCTAGTTGAAACGGCTGAGAAATTTTAGCTGAGAAACAGATGGGACTATGTGGAAGAGAACAAAATTAAACATAAAAGAGAACTGTTTAACTGAGAGTGAAAGTTGTACTTGCTACACTCCTCACATATCCGTCCAATTAACAATCTCTATGAATTAAGCCAGAAGTTGAAACACATTTGAAAATAAGATCTCCCAACATAACAAACATCCAAAGTTGCTCCACTGAAAATGGAGGGTTTTTTTTTTTTTTCCCAAGCGTGCCACTCAACAAAGGGAAATCAGGATCCTATTCAAACAATTTGTAATAATACAAAGGAGTCTGCTTTTCAACTTCTCAATAAACATTCTGAAGGCTGCTCTGGGTTTTTGTTTGATGTGCTAATTGCCTGAAAGCCATAACCAGTTTCCATTAGCTCTCCTCTGGATGATTATTCAAAGGATAGCGGGGCTCACCTCCTGAACCTCAGGCTTGTAGGTAACCTGTTACCAGCTCGCACGCACTCGCACACAATAGGCCCGAGCCAGCCTGCTCTAGATCACCTCAGGTAAACTTCCAGCATCCATCCCCGCCTGCTGCACCACCGCAGCCCC